CCATTTGACTGTTTGGGTTTCGTCGATTTGTATAAAAACCTTAAATACGCACATGAAATTTTCACAAACGCAATACTTACCCTATTTATTACATATATACGTAAGTGAACGCACTGTCTGAAAATGGTGTTCAAACATGGCAGATTGTCTACTTTAACTTGAGTTAGTTTTTCGGTCACTAAGATTCAGCTTTTGGCTTAATTTTTGTCATTATTGGCCTTTTATTAAAGCCAGATAGTCAGAAAAATTAAAACATGAAAAAATATTTGAACAATTGGTTTAAGCATTAAAAAACACCAGTAAAGTCAATTTTATCAAGTCATTTGAACTGAAGTTGAAAATTAAATATTGTTTGTAATTAAATGGCCAACAATAATGAAAAAATGTCCTATATTAAAACATCTAGACAATACATTTTTCTTTCTAAATCAATGATTAGTTTTTTTAAAATATTTGAAATGGTTCCTTAGAAAATGCACTTAATCGGCGGAAAAGGGGATCTGCCAAAAGCGCCTACTGTCTTCAGCCACATCATTCAATGCTCATAAATGACATGATTATAGTGCTATAATAATGTATTCAAGACCAAATATTAGTATAATAACTTAACTGTCAAAATAATTACAATTCCATTTTTTTTTTATCATTAAATTATTACATTAATATTTGTTCTTTAATACAATCAAAATATACGTTATTATAGCACTGTAATCAGGCCATTTATGAGCACTGAATGATGTGGCAGAAGACAGTCGGCGCTTACTGCAATACTGCTTTTTCGTCGATTAAGTGCTCTTTCTAATTACTCACTGATTTAGAAAGAAAATGTATTGTTTAGATGTTTTATTTCATTTCATTTTTCGTTATTGTTGGCCATTTAATTATAAACGATGCTTGATTTTCAACTTTAGTGTGAAGAACTTTTGAAAATTGACTTTACTAGTGTTTTTATTTCTTAAACACCAATTATGTTCTAGTATTTTATGACTATCCAGCTTTAATAAAAGGCCAATAAGGACGAAATTAAGCCAAAAGCTGAATCTCAATTACCGAAAAACTAACTCAAGTTGAAGTCGTCAATCTGCTATTTTTGGACAGCATTCACTTTTTTTTATAGGAAAGTTGTTTGTTTTTTAAATAAATAGTTGCAAGGAACACAACAAGATGTAGTTTATTAGGATGTAAAGGAGGGTGCATTCTAGGTAATGGGGGATCTGGCCCACAGACTAAGTGAACTCATAACACCTAGTCCATTAAAAACAGCGAAGAGCAGAAGAATGTGCTAAATCTTGGAATAGTGAATAGCATGTGAATTAGACCTACTGTGGATACTGTGATTAATAAAAATCTGGTGCATGCATCACACGACTTTCACTTAACACCCTCTTAGCAGAAATAAGTATTTTCAGACAAAGGGGAAGTGAAAGTAAAAATTATAGATGCTATTTTTATTTATTTAATTACCCTTATAAATACAAATTTTAATTTTTTTATCACTGTAATTTATACAATTAAATATTAAATAATATCAACGACAGCATTTATGAAAACTGCATATGCACATGTACATAATATTGTCGAAGTCCGTATTATATTGTTACGTATGGAAGCCAGTCCTAATCTTTTGAGCGAGCTCCAAAACTATTTTTTATATCAAAGATTAATGTGAAATGGTTAATTATCTCAAATAAAAAAAATTAAAGGTACTTTAGAGAAAGCTAATATTGAAAATTAGCTATTTGAGCCCTGTCAAAAAACCTAAATTATATAAAAAAATGCTTAATAATACACCGATTAACTGAGTTTAATCAAACCAAACACTCACACGCGCACGCTATTTTGTACAGACTATTTTGTGGGATATGGTTATTTGGAATTTGAGAACCTCAAAACGTGTATTTCTTTTGAAAATTTTCATGATCACAATACTTACCCTATATATACAAATACATTTAAAGCATATATAGGTAATTGAAAGTAAAAATGTGCGTGAAATGAGTCTGAACAAAAATATTGTCAAAAAACTGTTTTTAGGCACCATTTTTCCAATATGACTGCGCGAGCGGCAAAGATAAAATTTGGAAAGAGCAACGAAATCTATAAAATTACCCATTTTAAAAACTTCTGGAAAACTTTCAAGTAATCCATTTTTTAGCACCAAGTGACTGTACCATTTTTAATTCTAGATAAACTTCATCTGAACAAACAACTTTGCTCAGTCGGTCAAAAGCTGTTACTTTATTCAAAAAACTTTGAATTGAAGTGGTGAAATTTGATGTTTCATTCAACAGAAGAACTGAGGGCTGAAATTTTATGGTAAAAAAGACAAGACAAACAACATCACTTTAAATAATATGTTTCTGATGATCAGAAGAACATTTCCATCCAGAAAGTCCAATAAATATAATAAATAAAGGAAAAATAAACTACAATCCTAATGAAGTTATATTATATAACTTTTATCATTAAAACAAGAAACTTCCCAACCTAAGAGAAAATAAGAAGGAATTGGTTTCCTTTCCTTTTTTAGTTATGGGAGAAAGAAAATGGCACCAATAATAATAATAATAATAAATCTGTTCCCCGAGACTGAAGGTTTTTTTAACTGCAATCCAGGACCAGGTTATAGCTACCAGATCCACACACTGGTGACACGTCTTGAAGCAACAGAATGTATCGGACAAATGTAGGCTCTGTGCAAGCACATATGAGTCCATTCAACACATAACTGGAGGCTGCGGAGCTCTTGCAGGTACAGAATACCTAAAAAGACATGACGATGTTGCCAAAGTCTATCACCAGGCAATTGGTCTAAAAATTAAATTATTAAACGACTCGAAGCCCTACTATAAATATTGCCCTAAAGGTATTTGCCAGAAAGATGACTTAAAATTATATTGGAACCAATCGTTCATAACAGACCATCTCGTGATCCACAACAGACCTGATATTGTATTAATTGGCGGTAATATTAAGGTGGCTGAAATTATAGATATCGCTGTGCCAAATGACGGAAACATTAACTCAGTCTGTGCAGAAAAAATTCGGAAATATCAAGGTCTAGCAGCTGAGTTAAAAAGTTTGTATAAACTTAATAAAGTAACCGTTAGGGGCATTGTGATCTCCAGCAATGGCCTGGTACCGGTGTCTACTGTGGAAGCTACTGACAGGCTGGGCCTCCCAACTCATGTAATAAAGGAAGCTCAGAAAGCGGTGCTGCTGAATACTGCCAGAATAGTAAGAAGCTTTCTCAACATTCAATAGTAATTAAAATTGAACATACCTGAGGTGGTTGGAGTTGATTCTCTCCCTCTCAAGTAAACAAAAAAAAAAACCTTTTGTAAAAGTGTTGACAAATAAAATAATAATAATAATAATACTTTATTTATTCTGGGACGAGTCCCTTTAGAATAATACAGGAAGACAGAAATGAGGGCTAAGGAGCCTCAGAGATATATAAATAAAAATACAGAGTAATTGAACAGTCTTGGTTAAAAAAAATAATATATATATATATACACATATACATATAAGTTGCTTTCCAATTTTGATCAGTTGATAATAAAAGAGAAAAAAAAAAATAGATAAACAAAAATTGGAGAACAAATAATGAAGAACGAACTAATAACTTATGTACATATTTTCAGTAGTATCTATTTACGATTTTATGGGGACTGGATGGATAAGAAATGATTGAACAGGCGGGATTTAAAGGTAGGAAGGGTATTAGATTGACGGATATGGGAAGGGATGGAGTTCCATAGAGATGAGGATCGGATAATGAACGATTTGTCGAAAGCAGCGGTTCGGTGGACCCTTATGTATAAATCAGAAGACCGGGAACGAGTATTGCGGGAACGAACAGAGGATTTGAATTGAAGGAGCTCGGAGATGTATGAGGGACGGTGGGATTGGATGACTTGAAAGAGGAAGGATGCCAGGAAATACTTACGACGGTAGGAAGGATAAAGCCAATTTAACTCCGCGTAAAGATGGGAAACAGAGGCGTCCCTTGGGATCCCGAAGATGAATCGTACAAAGCAATTTATCAAACGTTTTAGTTTCGCCTCGGGATCCCAAGGGAGGCCCCCATATACCGTACAGCAATAGTCAAAGTGGGGAAAAATTAAGGAAGTGACTAGGAGCCTACGGGTTTCAAAAGGAAATAGGTGACGGGAGTAGTTATAGACGTTTTAGGATGGAAATGGTACGGCGGGAAATATTGGATATATGATTTTTCCAAGAAAGCGTTTGATCAATGGTTATTCCAAGATTTTTGATGGTGGGGTGAAATTTGATGGGGTTATTATGTAGGAACAGAGTTGGAATAGTAGGGACAGTTTTAAGGAGGTGATTGGAGCCTATTAAGATTGCCTTTGTCTTATCCGCATTCAACTTCAGCTTGTTTGTTCTTGCCCAGTCACAAATTCCATCTAAGTCTTCTTGAAGTTTTTCTGTGGCAGATAATAGGTCGGAGGGCGGAAAGGAAAGGTATATTTGGAAATCATCTGCATAGATGTGGTATCGGGAGTGACGGATCTGGAGGGGAAGATCATTGATGTAAATAGCAAACAGAGTAGGAGAGAGAGAGGAACCCTGAGGGACACCACAGGAGAGGGGAAGTGTGTTTGAAGGAGGTTGATCAGGGACTACTACATACTGGGATCGATTGGAAAGGAAGGATTAGAACCAATGCAGGACACTGAACCAATAATGGGAATTAACAGTAACTACATTAACAACTAAAGCCATCTATGGACAAATCCATATGTAACTATTAGAAATGACAAAGCTGTACTGATCTATTTGACAATCATTACTATAATTTATAGAGATAAGAAGGAATCATAATGTTTCTTTTTAATGCAGCTTATTGTATCTTCATTATAGAATTTTGTTTTTCGAATTCATTTTAATATTTTTAAATTGTAGTCATTCTACATTTTGCTCAATTCAGCATTGGCTGTTTGAATTTTTTTTTTTTTTTTTTTTTTTTTTAGAGTCAAATTCTGGAAATATGCTGTCACAGGGACGGATGATAACAATGAATTAAAACTTTGGACGTGTGAGACTTGGAAGTGCCTTCAAACTATTAATTTTAAATTTGGTAGTTCAAACCGACGACTAAAACTAAAAGCTTGTGTCGACCTTTCTGCAGGTTTCATTTTTGTCTCAGATATGTTTCATCGGGTATGTTTCATAAATTTTTTTTTATTTAACATTATGATTTGTGACATCTTAAATTGCTATTAAATAAAAATCTGGTGCGGTGCGCACATCACATAACTTTCACTTACCACCCTCTTAGCAGAATTAAGTATTTTCAGACAAAGGAGAAGTGAAAGTAAAAATTATAGACACTATAATTGTTTATATTTCATTGTGAATATTTTTATTTGTATAAGTACCCTTATATATACAAATTTTAATATTTATATCAGTGTAATCTAAACAATTAAATATTACCAACAATAGCATTTATGAAAACCGCATATGTATAATTCAATTATAAATAATAATTCAATGAAATGAAAGGCACGCAAACCCATAAGAAATGTAAGGGATGAATCAAGGCAAATAATTACTGGAGATAAGGAAGTATTGGAGAGATGGCAGCAATATTATTCTGCATTGTTCTCTGGCAGCTCGGAAGAGAGAATTGAAGAAAGGCAAAAAAAGCAAACAGAAGTATATGATGTCGTGACCTGGGAGGAGGATGTCAAGTGGGCTATAGAGAAAATGAAGATTGGCAAAGCAGCAGGCAAAGATGGTATGGCTCCAGAACTTATAAAATTTGGAGGTCCATAATTACAGTAAGCTTTACAGGACCTGTTTCAGAATATATTTCCTTATAAATCTATGTCTGAGAAATGGGGGTGCAACATCATCATACCAATCCACAAGAAAGGAAGCTCTAGTGAATGCCAAAAATATAAGCCTATACGCCTATGAACTTTATTCCTTCATACTGAAAAGAAAACACGACTAAATGTTAAAGACAAATTAGAAGATGAGCAAGCAGCTTTTAGACCCTACCGTCAAATACAGGACCACATTTTCTCACTAAGGACGATTATTGAGAAGTCATGGGATAGAGGAAAGAGGTTGTACATGGCGTTCCTGGACATAAAGGCAGCATTCGATTCTATTCCTAGAGAGGAAATATGGACAGCTTAAAACCACTAAAAATGTTCCCACAGAATTAATAAGCACCATAAAATCTTCCTACCATGACCCCAATGGAGTAGTTAATATGAACAGTAAAATATCCGATGCCTTCATTATGAGAAGGGGTTAGACAGGGTGACAGCCTTAGTCCTCTCCTTTATATAATATTTATGGATGAAATATTGAGAATATGCAAGCGGAGACAACACGGACAGTCATGGGAAGGTGGAACATGAGGATAATCCTAGCTCAAGTGATGGTTTATGCAGATGACATTGTCCTCCATGCCGATTCTAAAGAAAATCTACTGTAGGCAGTAACTGAGTAAGAGGCTGTGCTAGAAAGAAAGGGCATGATAGTAAATGTTGGAAAGAGTAAGGTGATGCACATTGGTCATGAAGAGGAGGAAGTTTTGGTTTGCTGTCGGGAGTATAGCGCAGCCTTGGAGATAGCGCAGAAGTACACTTATCTTGGAGTAGTGCTCAGCAGAAACAGGAAAATGGACCATGAGCTCTTGAACAGGATAAAGAAAGCTAACAGCATATACTACCAGCTGTGCAGTATAGTGGTGGGGAAAAGGGAATTGGAAAAAATATAAAATTATATATCTTCAAGTCCATATACTTACTTACTCTTATTCATGGAAATGAGAGCTGGGTCTCACTGGACTCTCATTGGAGTAGAGGTACTACTGCAGAAATGAAGTACCTCCGGAGAATAGCAGGCAAAACAAGGAGGGACAGAGTTAAGAATGAAAGGATATGAGGAGACCTGGGAGTGCCAGTTTTGAGGGAAATAGTTGAAAAGAGGCAGTTGGGATGGTTTGAGCATCTATGCAAAAAGGATGAGGACCGTGATCCAATGTTTTTTTAGGCTAGGCCTACTGGATGTCATCCTCGAGGAAGAACTAGATTGCTATGGATGGACCACATCTCCAGTATTGGTGAAAAGAAGGAGAAGTCTATGAATTTGATGAAGGTGCTGGCTCGGGATCGTGAGGCTTGGCAGTCCTGGATCGGGGCACCTCCACGCTGAGGGGCACTAAGGAGGATGGTAAAGAATAAAGGGTGTGTGTGTGCATGGGCGCGTGAGTGCGTGTGAAAACCGGAAGTGCCACTTTATATCAAAGGTGAAACACATTTTTACAATTTTCTCAAAAAAGTTCTAACGATTTTGATTAAGCTTGATTTATCATTGTATTATTAAGTGGTATTTAATATCAATTAGGTCTTATCCCCATTGATGTCAGTTTACAGGGCTTAAAAGCCCAATGTTCATATACGTCTTCCTCTAAAGTACCTTTAATATGGTTTATTTTAAATAATTAATCATCTCACATTATTCAGAGTTATGGAAAAATGATAAATATAACTTTTGAAAGAATTTGATAATTGAATAAAGGAGAAAAAAATAAAAAGCTTATCCAGGTCGAAAATGAATCTCCAGAAATACTACTCAGAAGGTATAAGTTTAATATATTATTGGAAAGCGGGGAATTTTAGCAAAATACCTTAAATACATTTACTGTCATTGAAGTAATTCTAGATCTGATATTATATTTAAATAATTAGGTATCAACGTCCGTTTATTTAGAAAATCGCCATGAAACTTTAAAAAAAATTAAATTAGTGAATAATTTGATGAATTTTCCCTTTGTGAAATCGCAAAATTATCATGTCTTCCTCTAAAGTAAAATATATATCTAAAGAGAAAAAAAGAAAAATACATATCTAGGCCGGAAATAAGAGCCAGAAGGTATATGTGTAATATATCGTTGGAAAGTGGAGAATTGGAAAAAACTAAAACAATATCTAATATAGAAAATTGTAGAAGGTAACGGAGAGTGACTCAAAAAATAAAAATAATAATTTCTAAAAACTAATGTTTGTTAATATAAATCACGTGTTTTCAAGGAAATTAAATGAAATTTTCTTATTAAATGTAAACTTTTAACTTTTTTTTTTTTAGTTTGAAAAAGTAAAAATCCATGGGTTCAAGGCAATGGCGCTGTTTAAGATACTATTTCATTGTACTTGTGTGAAAGAAGAAGTGAAATATAAAAATATTTCATGGATATGTTTATAATCCTAAATATATTTACTGTATTTTGTTAGGGTTCTCGAATAACTCTAGATCTGATATTATATTTAAATAATTAGGTATCTATTGTCCGCTTATTCCGAAAAGTCATCATGTAACCGTTTAGAAAATTAAATTAGTGAATAATTTGATGAATTTTTCCTTTGTGATATTCCAATAGTATCCACTTCCAATTAGTGTGACAACTTTTGACCTATCCTATGACAGACAATGTAAATCTCTTAATTCAATTTTAGCAAACTTTGCAAAGGAAAATAACTGTTAAATAACTAATAGTCAGTCCTACAATCCTCAGTAACAAAATATGGTCAAGGCAATGCGCTGTAAGAACATTCAGAAGAAGAAGTGAAATATAAAAATATTTCATGGATATGTTTAAACCTAAATATATTTACTGTATTTTGTTAGGGTTCTCGAATAACTCTAGATCTGATATTATATTTAAATAATTAGGTATCTATTGTCCGCTTATTCCGAAAAGTCATCATGTAACCGTTTAGAAAATTAAATTAGTGAATAATTTGATGAATTTTTCCTTTGTGATATTCCAATAGTATCCACTTCCAATTAGTGTGACAACTTTTGACCTATCCTATGACAGACAATGTAAATCTCTTAATTCAATTTTAGCAAACTTTGCAAAGGAAAATAACTGTTAAATAACTAATAGTCAGTCCTACAATCCTTAATCAACAGATCGTACAATCCATAATCAACCGGTGATATAATAAATAGGACTATTGTTATTTCAATAGTATTTACGATTTGTTAGCTGTAAGCTTTTAGTTTTAGCTCAGTTAAAAATGCAATAAAAAAATTTTATAATAGCCCAACACGGCCAGAAAATAATTTGTATTCAAAGTTGAACGGAGTTATGTGTTGCGCGCACTAGATTTTTTATTTACCTAGTAATCTTTTTCAGGCATAACTGTTCCTGATACCTAATTCTACAGAATTTCAGGATAAACAATTTATTTATAAATAGCAAGAAATTATCTCAATAAAAAATAAACCGATTTTCTGGATATTCAACTAGTAGATAAACAAGAATTAATGTTTACCACTTTGTCTTTTAGTCAAATACAATTACTTTAACTTTTATATTTTTTTCTTTCTAGGTTCTTTATGTCCTTGAACTTGAGAAAAATGACAATGAAACAATCCCATTTGTAAGAACTGTAACAGAATTTATGTTGCCATGTCCTGTTCTAAGTTTTGCAATAGTTGATGCTGGACTTCAAAACTTGAAACAAGGTTCTTCTTTTGGTGTTGTTGACGAACTTTGTAATGGTAATATAAATTTAAATATTTAATTGTTTATTGCATTTTCTCCTTCCATTGTAGTAAAGTCTGTTTATTTATTTATTTTTTTTCCTGCTTCTTCTAAATTGAACATATCCACTTGTGTTTTATCTTTTGGACTTTAAAACATAACTTTTGTAGTTGTTTTTTTTTGTTTATTTTTTAACATTTGTTTTTCATTGTTTAACCATTTGTAAATAACCTACGGGAAGTTAATTTTAAATGATTAGTTTTGGCGGGAATAGGCGCATAGCCTTCCGCTTTTATATCGGGGTTTAAGGTTATTTACGCTCGTGAATCATTAAAACAAAACCCCGGCACTGGATATCGACTTTTTGAGGGTGTTTAACTATGCTTGGGAATTCGGGGATCTATTACCTTTTATGACACTGTGTGAGAAGAAACAATAAGAATACATATATGAAATGTGGGACTTAGTAAACACTTTTAATTGACTCACCTGGTTTATTCTTCAATCGTGAGACCTATAGGACAACTAAATAAAAGGACTATTCACTCCGGTATAATAAAACAATTTATTTTGACAATTGATCATAAATGAATATATATAAGTGAATGGTCGGCTTGATAATCTTGGTCTTCAATGGAGTAAGCCTCTCTTCCCAGATGTGTTGGTGTCCAGGCCTTAAGGGTTTGGCGTCCTCCTCGCCATCTGTTGCCAGCTACCTGATCGGACCTTTTTTTCTTTTCGATTCTTTATCGATGTGAGATTTTCCAATCAGCAATTTGTCCACTGCACAATTGAGTACAATTCACAGGCAACCTCACATTCCTATATATTATATATACCTTCTCATTCCCTCACACATTGTAACCTATTTTGTAAATGTTATTCATTACTAATTTTATAAATTGCTTTTCATTCGCAGATTTTTCAAGTAGCTTCAAGTAAGTTATTAAAAAAAAATAATATTCTCAGTTTTTGGTGTTATATTGTACATTATATCTTTGCACAATATGAAATACATTCTAAAAATCATTCATTTTTATATTTTTCCTGGGTTTCTTACACTACTGGTAATGTATGATGTATGGTTGTATGTATATTTTACAGCAAAAGTCTGATGAGTGCTAAAACATGTGATGTATTATGTGGATCTTGATGTAGTTTGTGAGTTAGGTTTTTCGAAGTTATTGGTGAAACTTAAGAATAAACAAAAAACCAGAGTTTTACCAGTAAATCTAAATTATTACAGAACCAAAGTCAGGTTCATATTAAAGTAGCGAATCTACAAAAATTGAGTATTAAAGATTTTATGGATTTTATTAGCCTTTTGCGTCCTAAAGTTATTAAGATTATATCATAAAATTCTCTATAAAAAATGAAGGAAAGACATTACAGATCGAACTTCAGAAGACCAGCCTATTTTTTGGCCTTCCTGAAAAGTTGTGTTTTTATTGATTTGCTAGTGTAATATACACCTGGCAACATGAGGAGGTCAAGTTTCAGAATTGAAAAACTGACAAAAAATTTTACAAATTCAGTAAAGTAAAAAATTTATGAGAAATAAAATTAATGCCACGGTACTATAAAATTGTGTTCATTTTTTTACCTAACTATTTTTGTCATATTTTCCAATTTTGGAAATGGACAGGAAATAAAATTAATGCCAACATTGCTATATAATCAGAAAAAGTTAAATGAAGTAGGTTTAAAAAACTTAGTAAATAAAACTAACTTCATATTCGGATTCAGCTCCAAAATTCTCATTCATTTTACTCATTGAATTCATTGCCTGAAAGGGTGAATTTTTGTTTGCACATATTCCTAGATTAAGATTATAGCTTAACTACTTACACAAATCTTGACTAAATTCAGAAGTTATTTTACTTTTGGGCTAATGCATTTTCTCTGTTTCTGATGATAACATAGCATACATTCACTCGATTTTAAGGCTATTACAAAATTTAAACAATAAACATATGGTCTTATATTTAAAATTTAAATTAACCAAGTTGTGTCTCATTTAGTGTATATCCTTTGGATACTGTAAAAATTAGAGGAATTGACTGGTTGAATACACCCTGAAAGCTCGAAAAAGATTTTCATGGTTGTTGAAAAGAATTATAATCGATATAAAGTAGTAAGAGAAATTGTTGGACTATAAAAAATATTTGTATTTCCTTCACAATATATATTTAAGACATATTGGTAGTTCAAACATTTTACTTTCACTTAACTATTTATGTGATGTATAGTAAGAGAAGAGCATAAGACCATGGAGATTGGTTGGCTGTAGTGGAGAAGGCTCGGGTTCTTGCAGGACCGTAGTGGCGTTATAATAATAACAGTAAGAGAAAATATTTTGATTTTTAAAAAATTTCAAATCCAACTTTTCAACTTAACTGAAATCAAAGTAATGAGTTTCACTGACTCCAAAAAAACAATTTTTGCAAAATAATGTGTGTTTTAACGTACTTGTGAATGAACAGCATAGCTCAAAAATAGAGAGCAGTAAGAAACTGAAATTACATATTTAAGGTAGGTACATGCCTGGGATTTTATAGCAATTATTTAGCTGAAAACGACTAGGGAAATTGCACTTTATATATTCAAATTCACACATTTTTATAATTTTCTAGAAATCGGCTCTTACAATTTTTATTATACTTGTTAGATCAATGTAAAATCAAATCAAGTGGACTCCAATATCAGGCAAGATTATCTTCATCATTATAGTCTTAACATGGCTTAAATGCTGAATTTTCAAATTTTCTTCCTCTGTGTTAGTAATTATTGTTTAGCATTCGTTTATTTCCTTCAACCTTTATTTCCTTTAATATATTGAATCTGACCACATTTTTTTGGTACATCATTGTTTAATGAATATTTTATACTGCCTATAATTTTTAATTTTTTTCCCTTTTATATGAAAATACTAATTTCAACTGAAGGAAGCGAAAGTAGTGTCATTTTTCTTCTGTTGAATAAGTTACACTTATTCTCCAGCTTTGCTATTTCACTCACCTTACTTGAAGCAACTACTGGGTTTTAGGGCTTACCAGTGGCCCATATTTATTAAAATCTCTTAAGGATATTATTTTTTATTCTTAATTATAAAAAAAAAAAAAAAAAATACCGAAACATGCACTTTTGCTAATGGAAAATAATTAGAGTAAAAATGTCTTCTAAGTTCAATATTTTTATCCCCATCACGATATATGTTTAATATTTTTCAATTTAGAATCGCCAAAAGAAAAAAAGAAAATTTAATTGATATCAGTAATTAGCTAACCTCCCTGATAAATTTAAGACTACAATTTTTATTTTTATTTTTAAATAAACAACGGCTGTTCTAATACTAAACTAGAAATAATTTTTAGGAGAGGATGATGAAAACCATTCAGCAGTTTTTATGGCTCGTCTATATCTTGTTCAACCTAAATCACTGCAGGAATGCCATATTGTTTATCAAGCTAAGCCTTTCGTGCAAGGAAATACAACTTGTAAGTGTATTATTACTTTTATTGTCAGTAATTTACTATTTATTTAGCTCTGTTGGCTTAACTCTAGTAAATAACTAAAAAAAAAAAAAAAAAAAAAAAATGCAGCAGAGATAAAACTTACTAATATAATACATTTTGACATCCTGCCGCAAACATATTAAGTTTGCCATCCTTCACACAATTAAGCTTTAGCTTGCCCTCTTAAAAAAGTTTGCCTAAAATCTGTTGTTCTTGAAGATATCTTCTGTTTAGTGGTTCTTGAAAAAAAAAAAAAAGTCTTTATAAAAATTATAGTGGATTAAATTGTCAACTTTTGTTTTAAACATTTTTAGTAAAATGAATGTTGTATTTAAATGCCACCTTATGTGTAGTATATACCTTAAAACCCTATTATCATCTGAAATTGAAGTTAATGAAATATTGTGTTTTGTTTATTTTAAATTTAAATGCCATGAATTATAATACGTAGGAATAATTTTTACTTTCCCTCCCCTACATCTGAAAATATTTCTACTCAAGGTGAGGTGATAATTATCAATGTTTTTCAAGCATTATCTTTCAAGATGAAAGCATAAGAAGCAGATGGCTAATTTAGAATGTTCTTTAAAATTTACTATATTACCAAGTTTCATCTCCTCCACTTTTTTTTTTAGGAACCTTCATTTTTAACACTGCTGCCTAGCCTCATTTTTTAAATATTTATTTTGTTTAATCACATTAATTTCAAGAATTAAAATTAAACCTCTCTATTTCTTAGGTTTAGATTCTAATGGCCTGAGTGGTGAGATAGATGAAATCCCTAATGTAAATATTGAAACACCTTCAACTCAGCAGATATCATTGAATCTCATGACTCCTGATGCTTTTCATTCTCCTCATTCTTCTGAATCTACTACTGTAAATATGTTTTTAAAAAATGACCTTTTTTTCTGCTATATTCTTAATTATTTAATTTAAATTTAATGTGATTTTAGTTAATGCCAAACAATGATGTGGCCGTGGCTCCTTTGATTGAAGGGACTATTTCCTATTCTGGATCTGTTGGCGTTACGACTTGTGAACCATCTGTATGTTATTTTTGTTTATGCTATTAATTGACTATATATATAAAGATGTAGAGATGGTTGACCGTGATATAATATGAGAAGGAGTTGATCGGGGGGTGCGGTCAAATAAATAGTAAATTATATAAATAGTGTTATATAATTTACTATTTATTTGACCGCACCCCCCAGATCAACTCCTCAAACTAAATATATATAGTATTAAGTCAAGATATTTAACAATTATTCAAGTGAACATTGATTGTAAACACATATTATTTTTACTCTCACAAAAAATATATGTATATATTAAGATATCTTAACACTAGGGATGTAATAAGAACTGAACCCCTACCCATTATAATAATTTTCAATAGTTGGTATAGTATAGTTGTCAAATATGTTGGCAGAATGAAAGTGAAGGAGGAGAAAGAAGAGGTTTTGTAAGTGGAGGAAGTTCACCAAGTAGAGAAGTGGAAGAAATACTGTCCTCTCCAAGATTTTATTCTGAAGAACCTAAACCGAGTCAGAAAACATCTCTATCAGAGCCCAAAAAGTAATATCTGTATTTTTTTTTTCAGCTTTTCAATATTGCTGTAGTATTTATTTCACTTACCTCCTTTAAGAGATATTTTATTATCTAAACAAATACATAAATGAATTTAACATAAAATATCACAATATAACTACTACGTTAACTACCTGTAAGAAATTAATTAAATTACAGCTTTCTTCACCATAAAAACTAATCAAACAATATGATTTCAAAACAGTTTAAGGGTTAACCTCAAATTAGATAAATTGTTAAATAGAATTTATAAAGCATTGTAATTATCTTGCTCAAGATGCTGGTTATTAAATGTGTCAATTAAGGAAATAGTTGATTGTTGTCCATACAGTCAATATTTTGGTTGTTATTTCATTTTGCTCAGAGGAGTCATATTACATTCTAAAATATGTTCTTCTGCTTTACAGTCTAACCATTTCTGTTGCCTCCGTTAATTTGACATGTATTGACTAGTATTTGGTTGGGCTATTAATTAAGTGCATTAGAAGTTTCACAATCATAATTTTAAAGTATGCACTAACTTCAATATATTTGGCTTTATGTATTTATATTGTATTATAATTCCTGAGGTTGTAGATATGTTATTTTTTTTCTTTTCTTTTTTTAAGTTCTGAGTTTATTCCAGTGTGTTGATCTACAAGAATATTTTTATATTATCCTTATTATAATTTTTATTTCATTTTATTCTGTTGGATCTATTATGATGTCTCTATCTATTAGATTAATTAAGTCTCTTGAATGCTGACCTTTTTTTTTTAGATCTATGCATACCTTGTAAAGTGATCAACTAAGATATGCATACATTTCTTCAAATATCTAAGTATTTTCATCAAATCCAGCTATAGTATAGTGTCAATTGACTTGATAAGGTTCATGTGCGGGACCTATTCTTGAAATCATTGCTTTAGCTCTTCTGCAACATGACTTTTTTCCTCAGAATGTTGTACAGCATTGTAACAATTAGTTTATCAAGATTATTGAAATACTAGTAAGTTCTATTTAGTCTCTCATTCGGGCTACCACAATTTGGGTATAATAATCATTTACTTTATTTTTATAATTTCTGTTCCAAATTATGTAGATACATATAGTCTTGATGTTTCTTTCAAATTCTTAAACATAATGTTATGCTGCTGTTTGATGATTTTTGAGATTTAAAAATTATATTTTCTTTTGTTTATTTTTATTAATTCACCTCCTGGGTATAATCATCCGAAGTGTTCTAAACTTCTGTTGTCATCAAAGTAAATCTGCCATGCTTTCTTCTCTTTTTTTTTTTATAAATTGTACTAATATTAAATTGGGATATATAATGAACTAAATCTCCAAGAATTTTATCTGTACATGATTGTGTTCCTACAATATCTAAAGACTTAGGGTCACTACACACAAAATAATTTCGATCAAAGACCATTCCTACTATAGAACATTTCTCTCCATTTCTTTCTTCTAAGTCAAAATAATTCTTTAAATTTAATAAATATTTACTTCATGAAAAAACTTTTAACAGCCTCTCTTTTTGCCTGCTAGTAAGTTTTTATTACTCAATTATGTTGTTTGTTTTATAGTTTTATTTTATTATTTATTTATTACTATCTTCTGGTTTTTAATTTAATATTTTCAATGTATTATGTTGTAGTGTAGAAATGAAAGAAAACCTTAGAGGGCTTGAATTATCAATTCAAGAATTAAAGTTGGAGGTCAAAAGTTTGTCTCATGCCGTTGGCTTACAGTCTACTGGTTTGCAGGTTTGTATTGTTTTATTTCAAGCCCATTAATTTTTTTTTTAAATACCATCCAATTATTTCAATGTTTCAAAATCGGTTTTACCATAAATATAAGGTACTGTCATGCTCAAATACAAGGTGAGTAGGGTATAATTGTGTTGAGAATTCCATGAAGCATTGATAAAATTCTCAGCTTTGTTTTTGTTTCAAAAATGTTTAAAGTTGATCCAATAATTTTGTTGGTCAAAACTGGTCTGTTTGCGAGAAGAAAAAATGGATTTTGATGATTTAGACAAGGATATCAAGACCCAACATGGTTCCTTTGAAACATTGGATTCTGTATTTTAAAGCTCTGAAATCTGCAGTTATCAAGACGTTTGATTAAAGCCTGTCTGTTACACAATGCCATCTACATTGTTGCATTGCCATGGGGTACTTTTAAGATGTCATTATTTAGGTTTCTACAAATGACAAAGGAGGTCGTATATCTTTCCTATGTCTGATACTAAAACACTGTTGAATATATAGAAAAGTATTTTAATAAGCATATATTAATACCATAAAGAGAAGATGATTTAATATTGAATTTAAAAAAATAATAGCTTAAACATTTTTTTTTTTTTAAGAGCTGTTTACAGAGGTGATCACGTGATAATGTGTTGGTCACACATAATATTGATCATCTCTTCTTGAATTATTAGGCATTCATTATTAGGACATTCAGATATCAAATGAGAAAGTTTGATTGTTAAAAATAAAAACGTTATTTTGAACTTGTTACAAAATGGTTACATGAACTAATACTACTTGATCAGATGACATGATCTGGCGTGAAGTAAGACGATTGCTTAATATAAGACTATGAAATAATTCGGGAATGGTTATATATTAGGGAAGGTAGAGAAGTCAGTAACATCGGCATAGAAATAGCTTGTAAATACTGTTACGCTATGCCGGGTCAGCTTCTGCCTTGTGACTTTGACATCGGTGTTTGCAGATAATATTATAACCAAGGCCCGGATGCATATTTTGTTAGCGTTATTTTTTTTAACCGCTTATCAAATATCTATACGAATCAGTACACTGTGATGCAATTAGTCAAATTTTATTTTACATATTTGAGTATAATTGCACATTTTAGGATAAATGCATATAATTACATATTTGAAGATAAATGCATATAATTGTATACTTTGATTAATTTAATGAAATAAACAATATATATGTATTGTTGTACACTAAATTCATTTGTCTTCAAATGCTTTCCAATGTTGTGCCAAATACAATTTCCAAAATGGTAATATTATTACTGGTTTTTACCCACTGGAGACAGGTACCTTTTCCTATCCTCTCTTCTCTCCAGCCAAACATCAACTGCTTGCCAAAACAAAAATCTTTGTCCCTCTCCTCTTTGGGATTTTCCTTCTTGGGAAACTACAGAGCAGTCATTTTCTTTTCCCTGCACGAGTAGTACTAGATTAGCTTGCCTTTTAATTGTTCAACATTAATTTATTAGACTCTTTTTACTCACTTCCAATAAAGGTGTACATTACAACCCTTTAATAATTAATCTTTATGTTTCCAGATGTTAATCCGTTTCCCATTCTTGTCCCACTAAGTTTCTATTTTAGTTTGTTGCCTACGTTCTTAGCATTAGAGACATTGACAAGAGATCATATTTCTGTTTATTTAAAATGCCAATCAATGTTGAAATATTGAATTGAATCTTAAAACAACAGACGTGAAATAGTTTTTACAACTGATGAAATACCAGTGGTACCAGTTCAAGTGGGTGAAACTTTATGTGAAAAAATTATTTACAAAAGTCTTTAGAAAAAATTCAATTCTCATAATTCTGGAAGGTATTAATAAAATTTTAAAAGCTTAGATTCAATTGTTTCCAATGACATTTGACATCAACCCAGTAATTTTAAATGCATATAAATTTACCCCTACCTTGCCTGTTGATGTGGGAGGATCATTTTCTAATTACAAAAATATTTTATAAAAGGTTAGGTTTCACAGAAGCAAATTTACAAATGCTTCTGGTAATTAATTTTAATACAAAACATGTTTGCAAAGCAGGCTAATTCAAATGTTTTATCTATTTTACGTTATTTATTCCACTGGTTGTTAATTCTGTTATTGATTCAACAAAGACTCATATTAGATTTGTATACATTAACATACAAAATTTTTAAGGGTTTACATACTGTTCCATATTTATTATATTTTATTGCTATGCTTATTTAATTATGTGTTAGTACAATTATTGTTTTGTTGTTTTTGTTTGTATATACTTTGTACTATTTTGATATTTAAATTTTTTTAATGTGATTCATGTTATGTTTTCATTGCCATTATAATGTATATATGTATATATAACCTTATTGGTTGTATATGTTTAGTAATTTTCATTCTTTAGTTTAGATATTTAAAAAAAAAAAACTGAAATTATTGTAATTTTCAACCTCTCCATAATTTCTTTTCATTTCAAAACTTTTTGTTGGTACATCAATATATTTAAATATGTTGTTTATATATTAGAAATCAGGTAATTAGTAAGTTTAGTATATTTAGAGACCAGTTATTGCATATTTCATTATTTTCATACCAGTTACTAACATATTTTTACTGTATGTTATATGGCATATTCTGTGGGTTTATACTACACAAAAATCCGGGCCTTGATTATGAAATAATATTCTGGTACGTTGTCTGCTCCTGAAGGTAACTCGAAAACCAACCTCTTTAATTCATAAACGGTTGTGCAGGGAGGTGATTAGGCCGATATCATGCTCCACCGCCAGGTTTTTCCTCCTTAATTAATTAATTAACTAAGATTACCCACTTTATAGAGGCTAGATTTGCCCCAGGAGGGTCTCCCGGCCCCAGGGTCGATCTACAGCCGATGAAAAAATTTATACTCATCATGATGTTTACAAAGCACCCATAAATGAATAACTGGTTTTCTGAAAAGGTGACTTAACGCCAACTTTTCTGATTTCTAAGAACTAGTTCAGATATTCGATCAATTTGTTAAGAAATCAATTCACTGAGTTTATTCAGTTGTTATAACTGAAGCTCTATTCATTAATAATTACATACAACATCTTAAACTACATTAAAGCAGCTTCACACTTGCTCTTTTCATCTTAAAAGCCAATGTTGTTATAAATGATATCCAAGGTTGTGTTCACTAGATTATCTGTTTATAGCTCCTTTTTTTTTTTTTTTTTTTTTTCAGCATTTACAGGAAGAAATTAAAAAGAGTAGAGGGTCTTTCTCTTCAGACATTGAAGGAGTTCTTTCAAAAGCTGTTTCTACATTTAGACCAGTTTCTGAGGAAGATATAGCTAGGGCCATTACACCTCTAATATCTCAGGCTATTTTAGGCATTGTTAATCCAGGTAAAAACATCTAAATAATCTTATTTTTGCATTTGAAGATTAAATGCATGAATCAAAAGAATCAACGCATGAAACATTGATTTAATTTAAAGATTGAAACATATTTATAATGTATTATAACAGGTATTACCACATAAACAATAATAGCAATTTAGTATTCAACAAAATGACAACTTACTTAAGAATTTTGTTTTGGACAATTAATTTATAGGTTAATACTTCTTATCTTAATATCTCTAACAAATGTTTTTTTAATTAAAATCAAGCACTAACATTATTAAAATTGATAGTAATAATGTTGCCGTCACAGTACTCCCTTTTCTAATGGAATGCTGTAAGGCGAACGGGTGGTGTTGATTGATCCTCAGTGGAAGACTGGATGTTCTGGTTGTCGTTGAAGTTGTTGTTCATCAGGAAAGTAGGTTTTAGTCTATCAATTGATATGTTGTCTTCTTTTCCATGTCGATCAATGGTGAAATATTTGGTATATCTTCTAATCACAAGAAACGGACCTTGGCAGGGCCGCTGAAGTGTTTTTCATACTGTGTCATCTCTGACGAACGCATGAGAAGCAGTCGGTAGGTCGTGATGGATGAATACTTTGCGAGAATCTGTTTTCTGGAGATGTATTGGTCTACACTAATAAAGTGTTGACCTTAGCTCCATAATTAACGATGATTTCTCATTACTGCTTGTTTTGGTGGATTCCAAAAATTCTCTAGGAAGACGGATGTTTTATCAAAGAGAAGTTCAGCTGCAGAATATCCATTTTCGTTGACAACCGTTTTAAGCCTAACAAAACTATAGGTAACGACATTTAAGCGCTGTCTTTAAAGAACGGTACCATCTCTCAATTTTCCCATTTGATTGTGGATGAAAAGCTGTAGTTTTAAATTGCTTTGTGCCATGCAACTGATACAATTCTCGAAATAGGTTCGATTTGAACCTCTATCAGTAGTAACACTGGTATATATGCCATATCGTGAAATCCAGTCTAATGAAAGCTAGCATTGGTTTCCGCGGTGATATCTTCAATAGCTACCGTTTCTGTCCATGAACTAAAGCGATCAATTAATGTGAGACAGTATCATTGACATCGTAAAATATGAATCAGATTAAAAACTGCTCGATGAAAATGTGGAAACGTTCAAGTAAAAGTTTCAAAAATATTTTATTTCAGTTTTTGAAAGAGTGTCGGTGTCACCACTTTGTGGGGTTATTATCACCTAAACAATAATAGCAATTTAGTATTCGACATAATAACATTTTGAACAATTAGCATTCATAGGTTACACACTTCTTATCTTAATATTTCTGACAGATGTTTTTTAAATTAAAATCAAGCAGTAACATTAAAATAGATAATAACAGTGTTGTTACCACAATAGAAAAGAAAAAAATAAAAATCTTATTCTTATCTCAATTAATATTGCATAGTATTATAATATAATACTCAACTGTGTTGATACCCTACAGCTTAGAATACAGAAACCTTAGGCCCACCCATCTGTCTCTTCTTGCCTTCGTGGACAATTTAATTTTATTCGCAAACAACTGCAGGAACCTCCAGTTAAACATATACATACTACTGGAAGTATCAGAAACCATTGTTATGAACATTATGAGAACAGGAAGGAAATGCAAACATAAGGATCGAGTGGTAAGACTGAACCATACAAGTTTAGAGCAAGTAAGGAATTTTAAATACCTTGGTGTTCACCTGAAGGAATATGGATGGATAGGTAGTGAAATCAATGAAAGGATAAAAGCTGCCAGCAGGTGTTTCAATTCTCTTAAGAAAGGTTTTATTGAGAGAAAAAAAGTTAAAGAACACAAAGAAAGTAATTTTAAAAACACTTTCTTACCGATTCTCACCTATTTAAGTGAATTTTGGACAAACAAGACAAAAGACTTAATTGAATGAATGATTTCAAAAGTAAATAATTGAAAAGGAAGGAGATGGTCCGGGGTTGCGGTCATAAAAAGGTTAAATAGTGGTAAAACTATTTTATTGAAAGCCAACGTTTCGATCCGACTTTGCAGGTCTTTATCAGGGCTAGAACGGACAAGATACAAAAAGATAGAGAATTGTGGCAATTACATAATATTTAGACATAATTTATAAATAATGTGAATAAGCTTATTAGAATTATAAACAGTAAGTACAATAAAATATGGACTAAGTAAGCTGAGTAACAAGATCCTAAACTAAAGTAAATAGATGCTAACAATTGTTGTAGTGTAATATATAATAAATGAAAATGTGAGTATAATTCTACAAAATCTACAGGAGAAAAATAAAATTAGAGACCTAAAGGTGTGTTAATCTAGGAGTTTCACTTAGAACTGGAAAGGCAGAGGTAAGGATTGCAGGTATAGGGGAAGTTAACATGTGTTAACTAAGTAAACATTGAAAACCCAGGAAATTACAGTATCTAGGAATTTTTGAAGATATGGATGGATACAATGGAAAAATACTATATCTATGAAATATTAAATTATAAATATACATATAAAATAGAATTGAGAGATGTGAGAGGTACCTCTCATTTACTTTAGTTTAGGATCTTACTCAGCTTACTTAGTCCATATTTTATTGTACTTACTGTTTATAATTCTAATAAGCTTATTCACATTGTTTATAGATTATGTCTAAATATTATGTAATTGCCACAATTCTCTATCTTTTTGTATCTTGTTCGTTCTAGCCCTAATGAAGACCTGCAAAGTCGGGTCGAAATGTTAGCTTTCAATAAAATAGTTTTACCACTATTTAGCCTTTTTATGACCGCAACCCCGGACCATCTCCTTCCTTTATAATGCAATGGTCAACTATTAATATTCAAGTAAATAATTGAAATACTAAAGAAAGTATGACCAATTGGTTATTAACTTAAAATTACTGATTCCATTAAACCTAAATAATACTGCACTGAGGCTCTTCAAAAACAAAGAGTAACTGTATAATAAGAAAATCAAACCTGATGAAGATTTTCTTGAGAAAAATTTAACTACTTACTGGTATTTAAAAAATTAATACTGTTTTGTCAATCCTTGGAAAGAAAAGGCATACTGTTAAGTCAGTCTTAGGAAAAGAATACTATTGTTTTCTTTCTTCTTTCTTTCCATCCCTAAGTTATGAAAAAAGGTTTCAATTGGTGGAATATAATTTTTGTTCATTAACTTGACATAAAATGGCACACAACTTTTGTGTTTGATAAATTAGTCAAAATGTTCTGCAAACAGATATGTCATTCTATTATGTTTGAATAATATAGTTTAACTTATTAATTTTTTATGTTGTGAATGGTTTTCATTTTGTTATAGCTGTGGTTAAATCTATGACTGAGCTTCATAACATGGTTCACCAAGAGGTATCTCAGAAATTATTTATGACTGAGCAGAATTTGAAAGATAGCTTGAACAAGGTTATGAAAAGCAAGGTACATAATTATATAATTAAAAATTTAATGATATTGATTTTTAATTTTGGTACTAGTTCCGAATCTTTACTTCAAAGTGGCGGCTGGCTTTAAGATCACTTTGAACACAATTGGGATTGAATTCCGAAGCAATCTGTCCCTAAGTAAATTCAAATATAGACCTACCTAGAACCCTTCATACCAGATATTTTACATTTGGTTAGGTTAAGTTATATTTAATTTCCATCATAATCAATTATTTTTAGATACAAAAATAGTGTGTAGCGACTTATTGAAATCTTTGTCAGTTGTTTGTCAAAACATAAACTTCTTCCTTGAAATTAAACATAATTTTGATGTTTTTGACCAAAGATAATCAATTAAATAATAGTGATTTTTATGCAATTCATAAAATTCATTGTGCATTTTAGGCGAAAATATCAGAACATTTCTTTCATTTGATATTATTATTATTATATTTCGCTCGACTGCCATCCAAAGACTTTGGCCTCCTCACAGAATGCCTGCCTGGTTGGTCTGTCAGCAGTATCCTCAATCCTCAAACTCCCAGTCGCTGTAGGTCTGCCTTAATATCTTCCTTTTATATGTTTGGCTTGGTGATGGCAAAGTGAAGTGTAGGCAAACCGATGGTCAGTCCGTAGTTTTTATAAATTCACCTTCTGACCTTGATGTCTTCGCTCCTTTGCTCTTGTTTGTCACTTGAAAAGCTGTTTCATTCTCCTCCTGACAGAATCTGCATAGCGGATTCGTCGTTACTCGGAGATTGAAACATTATGATAGTTTAGCATTCAGTGGACCTGTAGATTGCTGTAAGATTTTAAGGGCTGCTCCTGTCCATGTTCAGTAGCAGTACTTCTTTTTAAACTGGACCTGTTTAGGAACAGCCCTTCGATGGTCGCTGTTTCTTGTCGGTCCAGTAATTACTGAATTTGTTCCCTATAATCTCCTGATCCTGCCTAGGGCAGTGCGGAGGCTATTCCACAGCAGGATCCAGGGGTACAGGAATGGTATCTGAACCCAATCTGGCTAGTTCGTCAGGCCACCTCGTTGCGCTGGTTTTGCCAGAGTGACCCGGCACTCATCTCTGCAACTCTTTGGTCTTCAGTTAGTCGTTAAGTGCTGTGTGCATTCCTTAATCGGACTTTGAATTGATACGTATGTATAGTTGGTTGAAAGCACTATTTGCTGCCTGATGTCGGTATTAGATGGTAATCTTTTTTACCAGTCACGTTGACTTAGCAGAGGTTTTGTGCACAATGGCAGATGCCAGTATCTCAGATTGAACACATGAAGCATACCTGCCAAGTGGTATAGGACACTGTTTCTTTAATATCTCATGTGATAGATGCCTGCTCAGGGACGAAGGCTGTTAGAGGAGGAGAGCTTTCTGTGTAGCATTTATTCCACTATTTGGTTTATGTTGTCTGCTGCTATCCTATCTCAAGAATGTTATCTTTTATACACTGCAAGCCTTTGAATCTTTCTCTAATGAGGATAGTTGGCTACAGTCTTGCTTTGTCGGCCATCCATACGCAAGCTGAGTAAAGTTGATAGGTCTGGCTTCGTTTTGTGCAGCGCAGTATTACCCATTTTTTGGTTTGAGTCCCCAATTCTTTCCTATCGCTCTTTTCCAGGCCCATAGGCATTTGAGGGCTTTACTTGTCACTATTTGAACGTGTTTAGTCCATGATAGTTTATGGTCCAAAATGACTCCAAGGTGTTTAACTTCCTTGCTCAGTGTCAATTGGATACCATTAATTTCCAGCATTTTGATAAATACCTTCTTCTTCTTGGTGAAGATACATTCATTGATTTTCCTAGGGTTGATGCTTAGTCCATTAATCCTGCACCAATTCCTAAGAATGTTAGACACTGTACTGAGGATATCAGAGAGGACACTATGATGCCTTCCTCCTACTAGGATGGCAATATCGTCAGCATATCCTTGTTTGCATTTTGTTTATGCGTATATTGCAGTCAATTTTATTATTATTTTTATTAGTATAATTGCTCATTTTTCACCAGAGATAGACAAAGACATATTATTTTTGTTTTCTGTTTTTACGAATCTACTGTTTTTTTGTTTCTTGTCTCCATTGATATAGGATACTATCCAGATTATTTCTTCTACCTATTCAGCATCTACGGTGTATCTCGGATCAATCCAACTTAATTATTTCCATATCTTTCGCCCCTCCTACTGATTCACTGTCCCAATCTACCATCTCTTACTAATGTCTTACTATCCTGTCATCAACGCACAGTCACTTTTAGCCCACATAGATGAATTCCATGATTTCTTCCTCCACAACTTCTATCACCTAATCGCTGTCTCTGAAACTTGGCTAAAACCCACGATCACATCCTCTCAAGTCTCACTCCCTAACTATACCCTATTCTGTCAGGATAGAGAAAATAGAATCGGAGTAGCCATTTTTGCCAATGATAGCCTGAAATCCAAAATCCTCTTTTTGTCTCCTCTCTCCGTCTCCCCACATATCTAATATCTTTTTGCTGAAATATCCACCTCCTCATATTTATTGCTCATTGGTGTCATCTACCGACCTCCTAGAATCCCCTTTGATGAAACACTCGAGACCATCCACTACGAACTGAGCCCTTCCTACTCTAACACTGCTCTTTTCGGAGATTTCAATACCAACCTATTATTTCCTTCCTCCGACCAAGCCTATTTATCAAACCTCCTCTACTCTATTAATCTGTATTATTTATTTTATTTATTTATTTCCACCCTCCTATGCCAAAATGGCAATACGGGTGTTTGCAATAGTGTGTTTTAGGCATGAATACTTAATAACACACTACTACTAGATATGCACATATATAGTTCTTCTGTTTTATCTTCTTCCTTCTTCTTTCGGCCTAGCTTTCAGAATCTGGAGGTCTTCCTGGCGCTTGTCCTCTTCTTCTGCGAGCACCAATATGGAAGTGAGCGGGCCCCACTGCAGTCTTCCATCCATTTATGAAATCCTTAAACCGCAGGAAATTTTCCTCACTGACTAACTGAGGAAACTCATTTTCAGTGAGGACATAGATTCCCGCGGCTCTTGTCATTGTTGCTCTTAACGTTTCAAACGCGGTGCAGGTCGTGACCACGTGCTCTACAGTTTCCGGAACACTACAGATTGGGCATAGAGGATCTACATCAATGCCCAGACTGCGAAGTTCAGCTCGAAATCCTCCATGCCCCGTGAGGAACTGGGAAATCCAGTAGTCTGGGAGGACCCACTTTGCCTGAAGCCTCGACTGTACTGTGGGAAAGTACTTCCTCAATGTACTTCCTTTAGGGGTTGTTGCCCACCGCCGGTTCCATGCTTCAATTGTATCCTCCCGGAGTATCTTCTTCCACCTATTAGGCGCTTCCATAATCCTCACCTGTAGATTGTCCGAAAGTACTGTAGAGCCTTCTATCTTGTATGAATATTTCGTCACTTCTTCTAGTAGGAGGAGGTCGAGAGGCATCACCCCCGCTAGAACCTGCACCGCTTCGTGTGAAGTTGTCCTATATGCTCTGGTGACCCGAAGCAGAGCCTCTTAATCTGTATATAGTCCCCGTACAACCGTACCCATCGCACCCAATACTCAGACTCTTGGCTCGATCTCTGCATTATTGACTCTCCTGATAAACTCCTCCGCGAAACGAAGAGACGCAGCAAGATGAAGGTTTAAGCGCACTCGACTCCCCGAAGACTACACGAATTTCAAGATGCTTCGAAACAGTATGCAATCCATGATATGCTGAGCCAAATTCCATTACTACCAACAATCCTTATTCAGCACTCATAACTCCAAAGCTATGTGGGCAATCCTCCATAAATTATCCTTAGGCAAACCCAGACTACCTCTATTTCAGCTGACATACTCAACACTCATTTTGTCTCCTGTTCATCCTATCCCTCTGTCCAAGCACCAGCTCCACCCCTCATACATTCCCCTTTTAATCCCAATCATTTTTTCTTTTCGCATATTACCCCTAATGACCTCCTTAAATCCATTTGTAAATCCCAAACCAAAGATTTCGGACCAGATAATATCCCAATTAAATTAATTAAATCCTAACTTCCATCCATTTTCCCAATCCCTTATCATATCTATAATTTTTCACTATGAATTTTCACTTTTCCCAGCACCTGGAAAACCACCCTTGTTCGTCCACTGAACAAAATCTTTAATCCCACAATCCCTAATGATTTCCGTTCGATTTCCCTGTTATCTAACCTTTCTAAACCTTTAGAACAAATAGTACTATCCCAATATCTCGAACAAAATAACCATTAGAACTGCTTCCAGTCTGGTTTTAGATCTGACTACTCCACTTATTCCTCCGCTCTTATTAAAATCTCCCAAGATCTCCAAACAGCCATAGGCCAACAGAAACTCACCATCCTGATCCTTCTTGATTTCTCTAAAGCATTTTACTCAGTTGACCATAATATTCTCCTTACTAAACTTAAAAATATTTCCTTATCATTTAGTGCCCTTAAGTGGTTCCAATCCTTTCTCACCGATAGCTCCCAGTACGTTGTAGTTCTATATAAATATAAATATATAAATTGTACCACCAAAATTGGTCCTAATTCCTTGCACTGCACCCTCTATAGAAAAATTAAAGAGTTGCAGCCCCAGTATCTCCTTGCTGAAGTTCATTATTAACTGGAAAACTTTCCAAGTGTGCCATGTGATTTGATCCACCATTGAGAACCACTCACAGTCGTACAAACCATACCCTCTATCTTTTTGGGGACTCTAAATCTACATAATCTTATCTAAATAAAGCAGGCAGTAGGTATACCCAAATGACACAGTCGTAGGTTTGCCGGGAATTTATAATGATGTGGTGGAGCATGATATCAAATTCATGCGTCTTTTCCAACAGCTGCCTTAAAGCAAAAATGCAGTTAGATGTCAACCTTCCTTTCCTAAATCCACCTTTGTCGTCAACGACGATTCTCTCCATGTGTGCCTTTAATCTCCTGAAAATCAAAGACCACTGAACTTTATAGGCAATGCTTAGGAGGGCTATTTCTCTAATTGTCTCAATACAGTCTGTCAACTTGTAGATTAGGCATAAAATATCAACAAAGACTTTTCTAATAGAAAGTTGTGTTATTTTGATAATATATTAAATTTGAATTTTTTTTACAGAAAAATGATTGTTTCTTTATGATTTATTACTTTAATTTTATTTTTTATACCTTCTGCTATTTTCCTATTTAGCAGACTTCTTATAGCAGTTGCAGACTACAAAATGACTTTAGCGTAAACAGAATAAACATGTATAATTGTTACATACGACCTTTTGCGCTAACAGTTTTCTTCTTATTTAATAATCTTTTCTACCTTTTAGTGTAGATATATATACATATATTTATCTTTCTCAAAAACTATAAGTATTGATTAACTTGTTTAAAATAGACTCTTTTAATAAAGGGAAGTCAAAACACAAATGTGGGGATTTAATAATAAAGAAACATGTATTTACACATTTTTTTTAAAGAAGCTAAAGTTTCACTTTTATTCTGTAATAGTTCAAGATAAAATAATTCATTTAAGTTAGCCTAATAAATTTTCTTTCTTTTAGGCATTTAATGAAGTAATGGCTAACAGCTTAAGTTCAGCAGCAGCATCTGCTTTGGAAATTGTATTTAAAGAAACATTTATACAGACAGCAGTTCCTTTGTTTGAAGCAGCCTGCTCAAATATGTTTCTTCAAATTAGTGACACATTTACAAAAGGTGTTAATGATGGTAAGAATTAAAACCTAGAAATACTTAAATTAATCTTGAATAACTTCGTTTAGTTGATAAATAGTATTATTTCTCTTGAAAGTTGTAAGAGCAATTGGTGTTCAACCAATGCTAGTACGCTGTTTGCTCAGCATATTGATCTTGAAATATGTTTTTAGTTCTTCTTTTTATGCTCTAGTGTACCAAACCAACTGAGAAAGGTTGTGTTAGACATAATGAACTGAGTCCTGTTTGGATATTTCTTTTAGTTTTGACCCTCATCATCTCTGTTCCACACTGATCCCTTCGACTTCCGAACCCCAAGGATGGATGGGGAAACTTGCAGCTGCACCATCCATTCATCCCAAGTTTGATCTTCCTTTCCTTCTTTTGCCAAACATTTCTTCCAAGAACATGTTTTTTTGGACCTGATCTTCAGCCATTTTGCTGACATATCCAGTCCATCTGAGGCGGCTTACTTTGATAAAGGTCTTCACATCTGTATCCCCATACAGTTCCATTAACTCTACATTAGTTCGCTGTCTCCAGACTCAATTACACATTGCCCCCATGATTCTCTTCAGGATCAGCTTCTCAAATCTTAGAGCCTGTTGCTGATTTCTGTTAATGGTCTGTCCAGCATTCTGCATCGTAAGTCAGTTCCGGCCTTATTAGTGTAACAGTGAAGTAATCTTAATAAAAGTAAGTGAACAATACTGCATCATGTGATATATTATTTTACCTTCTTTTTTATCTGTTCTTCTCCATGTTATGTTACATTTTACACTGCTAATTCATAGTCCAGTTATATTTGATATAATTGGGTATGCTCAGATTATTATTATCTTAACCTAGTAACTGGGTATGACGAAATATTTTGTCATACACAAACTTCTACTTCAATGGACATGACGACATTTTTCAGCATAGAAAATTAAGCACATTAAGTTTTACGTATTTCTTATCTATTAAATCCTTGCATGAGTATTTTCAAGCATATTTTTTATGTTTTCACTATCAGTCTCGTTTTTTTACTTATAAAATATTTTGTCTAAATAAATAAAATCAATAAGTTATAAATTATTTTCTTTTATTACTTGAGGTATGATGATAAATTATTTTCTTTTATTATTTGAGGTATGATGATATTACTGATAAATAGAAACCGGATCTTCGTGGAGTAAAAATCCGAAAAATGTTCAACAAAATGTACAAAATCGTGCAGTAAAAACACAAAAATGTAAAATTGCTTAATTTACAGTTTAAAATGTGCAAAAATCATCTATTAATTTACAATATCAATATATTGAGGTACCATCAAACCTTATGTTAAGCTTCTGAATTTAAATATTGTCACAAAAAAAAAGATTAAAATGCTTCATTAAAAGTTAAAATCCATATTACAGTCAACTAAGAACAATAATACGTAATCTAATACAATAATAAATTACAATTAACCTAAATCTTGAAGAAAGATAAATTAAAAAAAAAAAATAAGGACTGACATAATAATTAATAGAAAATTTAAAGATAATTCACAAAACAAATATAAAAATGTCTCAATAATTAACCGACAAATAATTAAATGTATTTTTTTTAATTTCCCTTAAATTGGTTCATTCCTTGTATGTGCCAGTCAATTAACCATTGACTGGCACATACAAGGAATGAAGTAATGTAGGACTTAAAAACATTAAAGGTATGAAGGATAAGTATAATACTATGTATACCAGATCAACTGATTTTAGATATTTAATTTTAACTAAATTAAATAGTTAAAATAACATATGTACATATATAATTATATATTGCCCAATTTATAATTAAAACTTTAGTTTTTAATCGAGTTGAAATTTGTAATGCTATACATGTCGAAAGTTGTTTATGAAAACTTGTTTCTACTATCACTTTAGTTTATGAAAACTTGTTCCTACTATCACTTTAAGTGAGAAAAAGATCATTCAACATTAACTAATGTAAGGAAACTCATTTTATAACAAGCAACCACTGCTTGTTCTTTGTCAACAATAATATTTATACATTTAATGCAGTCGTTATATTTTTTATAAGATCATACCCTTTTTTTTCTACTACAGAATGAAATTTTTGAGATGTATTTTTTCGATTTCATTATTGATTTTTTAAAGATTTTCTCTTCTACAGTTTCTACAATTTCAATTTGTTTGTTAAGTGGCAAATTTCGAGATACTAACTGAGTAATGTTTGTGAAAAATTTAACAAATGTGATTTTATGAATGCCAAATCAGATATTATTGATGCTGAATTCACGATAGCCTACGATTCACTTCAAAGCCAGAAGGGCTACTGTGAAAACAGGGAGAATTCAAGCCAAAACAAGAAAGGCAATTTTTTTTTTATTGAATTACTTCAGGCAATTTGTGAATCTACAAATTGTCTGAACTTGTGTTTACTTTGTTCTTTTTGTAACGTTAAATTTGAATCTTTGCGTCACAGAATCATTTACCTCTCTTATATTTTTCTATCTTAAATTATAAATATAATATGGATAAGATAGTAAAATAAATATTTCCACACACACACACACACACACATATTTATATTAATAAATCATTTAATGTACAAAAATGTGCAATTTAAGTCAAAAAAACGTGCAATATTGTGCAACGTGCAATATAAAATTTAAATATGTTATTCTACAGATCCTGAAACAGATAGATATTCAGATCCGTGGTTTTTACATGCAAACGAATAAAATATGCAATAACATGGAAATCCGGTCTCTGCTTATAAATATGAAGAATGAAGTCCCCATTGTGAAACGAGTGGAACTAAATTTTATTTCCTGGTTAACTGATTAATATCATCCTAGCCAGGTGCTTTCAATCGACACAAAGGCTCTTAACAAAGAAAGTAAAAATAAATGTGTAAAAAAAAAAGCTAAGATAATTCTATCTAGGTAATTTTGACTATGAAAAATTTTGTTTAAAAAAAAATTTCATTTATTTCCATTGTTATCTTTATCTGCTGTTTGTGAATTTGTATTCATAATTATTTATTTATAATTTTATTTTAACAGCAATGACGGATGTCCAGAAATTTACTAATAAATTAAATGAGCGTGCTAATCTTGAAGTTGTTGCACTTCAAGCAGCTACAGAAAGAATAAACCAAACAGCACAACATTTTACTTCAACTGTTGAAAAAGAAGCCAAAGGGTATATTCTTTAATCATATTATTTTTCTTTCATTTTCTTATTTCTTTATAAATTGTGTATTTAGATTTGAAAAGTCATAAGCAGTAACATATTTTTATAAAAATCTTTATTCACTTCGTTATTTTATGTACAACGTTTTCTTGTACTCACTCAATAATTAGTTTTTGAAAATGGCGTATGGTTACACTTCATTAATGCTAATTGAAAAGAGAAGATATATGGTATAATAAAAAGTTTTAAAAGCTTTAGCAATGTTTAAAAAAGTATGGAGAAAAAAAGAAGCATTTGTGCTTCAAGTGCAACTATGCTGTAGCATAAATAAAACTAATGTCAATGAAACAAAACCCATCAGTTTTGAAGAGCAGACTTTGATCTTTTTGATAAGTATCATTATTGTCAGTAAGGCTAAGAGAACTGGAGATATTTGAAAAAATACGCACTACTAACAAAAATAGAGTGAACTTATGGATCCACACAATACTTAACACATTAGATATCCCACTTCAGCTGACTCTACCACCTCCTTCTTTTACTCCATCTCAAATTGCACTCTAAATCAAACAATTACTGAAAAGAAAAGCTCCTGGCTATGATTTAATAACTGCTGAAGCACTCCAAGAAATGTCCCTCAAATCTCTAGTATTTCTGACAAAAATTTACAACTATATACTGAGGACTTCAAAATTCCCATTACAATGGAAATACTCACTCATACTAAGAAATATACTCACCAGGTAAAGACATATACAATCTTTCATCCTATAGACCCGTCAGCCTCCTTCCTATATGCTCTAAAGTTTTTTAAAAACTAATATACAAAACACTTGTTGACATATTGACTGACCGACAGATCATCATCATCATCCATGATGCAACAACACCTGTAGAGTCAAGGCCTCCTGCAGCTTGGTCTGCCAGTCTTCTCTATTTTTTGCCACTGCTCTCCAATTGCGGATTTCTAAGATGGACTTACACCTACACTGACACACACACACGGTACTCTAAACTACAGCACACTTCACACACCCCCACACTACAGATAAATGTCAATTACAGTACACACCCTAGGGTTACCTCCCCTAGGTAGCCACCCGGGATGGGGAAGCTTGTCAGGGCGCTATGAGGAGGCAGTCCCTCCACCTGACTCGGGGACAGCTGGCTGATACCTCACTCTCCTTAAATCAACCACATCATGAACCCTCAAGGAGAAATAGCCAGACAGATCAGTGGTAAACAACATAGGATTCTCCAAAAGGACTTAACAATATGACAATGGAATATTTTATCCCTGTATAGACTGGGGTTGCTTCGGCAACTTCTACAAGTTGACAATTACAACCTTGACTTAGTCGCTCTGCAGGAGGTGAGGTGGAAAGAAAGTGGAGTTCTGGAAAAACGATTCCACACCATATACCATAGCGGCCACGAGCATCTACATGTCTCTGGAACGGGTTTTATAGTAAGGGGAAGAGCCAGGATTCTGGTAATAAATTTCATCCCTATAAGTCCCAGGATTTGTCTTTTGCGTTTAAAAGGCAGGTTTCATAATTATACATTCCTCAGCTGCTAAGCACCCTCGGATGTGTCTCCTAATGATGAGAAGGAGGCATTCTATGATCAGTTAGACAGGACCCTCGACAGTTGCCCTAAAAATGATGTAAAGATCATCATAGGAGATTTTAATGCAAAGGTTGGCAAGGAAATAGTCTTTAAACCAACTATTGGAATGCACAGTCTCCATAACGACACAAATGAGAATAGCCGAATGCTAATAAACTTTGCTGCATCCAAGGATCTGGTTGTCGGCAGCACATCTTCCCTGGCAAAAACATCCATAACTAGACTTAGTTGATTACTCTCCAAACTCTTAATAAAACACTGCTCTCATGAAAAAAAAATTTTTTTTTTTTCCTCCTCCCCTTCTCTTTTAGGCTTTACAGGTTTTTTCCTGTGCCAGATGGGAGGGTAGGGGATTAATGCCAGAGTTGAAAAATCGCTCTCCCTCCTTGAGCTGGGATGCAAAATTATAATTATTTTAAAAAGTAAATCTTTGGTTTATCAAGTTGCCAGGAAACACGTGTTTTGGACACTTATTAGTCCACTTGGTCACCTCAACCCCCTGAAAAAATGTAAATAATAAATGATGAAAGATAGTAGTATAGTTTTCTTATAATTTGACAAGTTTTCTTATAATCAATTAACAATTAGTAATTGTATTACTTATATTATTCACCCCTATAAATTTATCATTTAACGGTAAACGAAATTTTCACAACTCGGTGTCATCTTACTTCTCTCTCTTCAACCATCTTAAGCTAGTGGTCTAGGTTGGTGCCTCCAAACCAAGCCTAAGAGTCACAAGGGAACAAGGATCTTCCTAGTACTGTACTCATAACCAGAGATGCAAGAGATTCAGTCCTTCCTTAATATTGAATGGCTCAGTTACTGCACCCTTATTTTTAAGTACTTCCATAGTGCTGTTTTGCCATTAATTAGTACTGTTCAAAATTTTTTGTGAAAATGAGCTTATTAGTGTACTCTTTACATGCGTTGCTCTGTAAACCTTTTATCATACATCTACTTAAACAAGAAAGTATTTGCAGGAATTACTCAAATACATTTTTGCTTGCAGTTGCCTATACAGGATGTCTTAGTTCTTAATGGCCACACTCTAACAGGTGATTCTATACAAAATTTGCAACAAAACATTTCATTTGATCTATGGGCCAATTTCGAACGGAAAAGGAATTATGTCCACTTTCGCCTTTTCTTAAGGTGATCACATTTCCCTTTTATAGGAAGCGAAAACGCAAAAATTATTCAATTCAGATAATTAAAAATTGCATTATACTAAACCAGACAAAATTTCTATCTAATAAAAGTAGAATTTGTCTTGTGTCAGAACCATTTAAAGGGGACTTTTGAGTGGCCAAACCGAGAAATTATTACAGTTTTAATTCCTCCTTTATCTTGTAACCTGGCTATAGTTATCTTTTAGATTTTTCACTAATGGATCAATTTCAGCATGGTAGTTTGTTTTGTTTGTTCCATATTTTCTTTCTTTTCTTTTTTTATTATATTATAGCATATATTTCATTGTTCATCATTTTAAGTTTTTTCTAAAATGTCAAGTGACTATTTTATGTCAAGAAAGTTTTCTCATTCAACTTGAAGTTGTCTGTAACTAATCATAAAATAAACTTTCAAACAGGCTTGAAGATGTGGTGATAGAAATGGAAAGAAGATTAAAAGCTTGTATGAATGGTGCTTCGGTAAGGTCAGGAACTGCCACTCCTGCCCAACATCTTGTTGATCCCCATATAATTCAGTCTCAAATAGCTATGCTCATTAAGCAAGGCCAGTACAATACAGCTTTTCAACAGGTAATGTTTTATATAGATAACTTCATAAATAGCAAAAGTTTTATAATTCAATTGTATTAGACCTTAACCTTCCAACTTTGTGGATCATATAGCACACCATAAACTCCAGTTATTTTCAACTGTTAATACAATTTTAAAAATAATTGTTTATTAATGTAATGGATATGTTTTACTTCTTTGCAAGAAGAATTCAATTTCAACAATTTAATAATCTTTTATTTGGTTTTTCAAGTTTATTAAAAATACTATATCTGCATGCACGAGTTGTACAAAATTTTAAGATTAAATAAATAAAATATTACATCTATAATGTTGAAATTAGTATTTGGTATCAATTATCTTTAAATCTATTGGAGGAATATGATATATGGTAATGTCAACATTACATGGCATTTGAATATTGGGGGGAAAGTGGTAACAGCACGAACTACTGGGAGGAAGTGCGTGCAGATGGTGGGGGAAGCAAGCCCCAGGTAACTCAGAATGTGACGGGCCGCCAAGAGAGAAGGTGATAGCGGCCAAGAGAGAATGTGACAAGCGGCCAAGAGAGAAGGTGACCAGCTGCCAAGTGAGAAGGTGCTAGCTAGCCAGCTGAGAAAGTGAAAGAGGAGTCCTAGCCGGTTCGAGTGTTGATAGAGGCCACTAGTGGAGATTATTTTATGTTGGAAGAAAAAACAGCAGGAATTAATTAAGTGGTACAGAAAACGGAACATTCGTAAGTAAGAAGAGATTATTTCACTGACAGGGGTAAACATTTGGGTGAGTGTTAACAATGCCATTTATGTTGACAGAGGGATAGAGCCACAAAGTTTAGACTGGGACAATCAAGGTTTTTGAAAACAATAATAAATTTTATATGTATAATTAGTGTATTTAGTAATTAGTAAATTATAGTTATTTAATGTTGAATGAGTGTTCAGTTGTCAGAACCCAACCTGAGAATTTATGTTATGTGTTAAAATAAATAGTATATTGAAAAAGGAAACTCGTTGTTTGATTTTGGAGGGAAAGAGGAACGTTACAACATGGCCCCAACTCTTGGCTTTTGAAAACGTACATAGTCACGACAACTGAACACGCAATCCTTGTTAATTTTAATTTTATTTCTTTTAATAATAATTTTTGAGTAATATGGAGAATAAGCAGAGAGAGATAATAGAAGTTAGAGATCTTAATAATGTAATTCTTGGAAAATCTAATGGGAATGTTATTGTTGAAAATAAGACAGAGTCAGTTGTACAAAGCCTACTTGATGAAAATAGATAGTGTGAAAACGGAAGTGAAAGTCTGTTGAGATTAAATGAGTTTAGTGAAAATAATATGGAGGCTGAAAAAATAGATATAAGTAGTAGCAACAATTTGAATTGTACTAATATTAATAATATGTTTCGACAATTAATGGCTATGCTTCATAAGGTTAATATTCAATTTGATAATGTAAACAAAACATTAGAATCTAATAATAAACAGGAGATTTTGAAACAAGACTGTGATAACTTAGAAACCCAAATTATTGCAAATATAACTGAAGTCCAAGAAACTACACTGGCTGAAAAAACTTCTAATAATGAACAGGAAATTTTGAAACAAGATTGTGATAACCTAGAAACCCAAATTATTGCAAATATAACTGAAGTTCAAGAAACTAAACTGGCTGAGAAAACTACTTTTGGTCACTCAGAAAGTGATGAGAAGCAAACTGTTACTGAAGAGCTTAGCAAAATTAATTCTTCAATTGATATTGTATCCGAAAATCTCTTAAGAAAAGATAAAGAAACCCTTGAAAAAAAATTAGTGACAACAGAATTTCTAGTAGAAACTCATACAGTTAATCTTATAGATATCAAGAAAGAACTTCTCAAGTTTCAAATTGAGTTCAAAGGAGTAAAATCCAGCAGAGAAAAGCATGGTAATTATTTTAGTTCAGAAGATCCTTTAATTCCAGAAAAGTTAACTCTACGATTTAAAGATGAGTTAGGAAAGTTTGATGACTGGAGTAAGAAAAGAACAGGATTATATGAAGTGTCGTTCCATGGACTCACTAAGTATAATTTTGAGTGTAATGGATTACCAGTCATCCTACTTATTCTAGAATATGAGTTTTATGGGGGTTATATGATCCTGGATCATGTTAGGGCAGGTCGCTCATTATGTTATAGTGAGACACGGTAGTCTTTATCCTATCCAGAGGATAAAAAAGGGTTTTAAATTAGCGTCCCTTCCGTTGACGAGCTAGAGGGTCCTGGCGAAACCATCGTTAGGTTACTCAATCTGGATAACTTGTAAATAGTCTAATTACATTGTTGGTAGATAGGATAATAGATTAATATCTAAAAGTTAAATAAGTTGTTTTGGCCGGATATTGCTAGGTAAAATCCAAATTTTAGAAGAAAGTTAAAAATTGTCTTAATTAATTAGTGTCTTCTCTCTGATTATTCCTATAATACAAGTTAAAATATATTTTTGTATGTTATATAAGTAATTTAAACAGTTATTTTGTAAGTTAATTATACATAAGATATAGGAATTATAAGGTAAATTTATTTTGGTAAATAATGTATTAAGCTTATTTTATTACTTGTATATCAACCTACTTTTCCTGTACATAAATTAGATGAACAAGTTATGTAATTACTGTATGTAGATTAAGGTAATATAGTGTTAATAATTCAATAATTTTGTATATAAAATTGTAAATGTATGCTAACAAGGTTGGGAACTCTATTGTAAAAAGTGTGAATGTCAAAAGTTAAATTTATTATTTTAAATGAAAAAAACAAAAATTAAATAATTCACCGAATTTTAAAATTCTGTTTGTATTTTTTTTTTTTAAACTGGAACGGAGGAGAAATGTAATGTCAACATTACATGGCATTTGAATATTGGGGGGAAAGTGGTAACAGCACGAACTACTGGGAGGAAGTGCGTGCGGATGGTGGGGGAAGCAAGCCTCATGTAACTCAGAATGTGACGGGCGGCCAAGAGAGAAGGTGACCAGCTGCCAAGTGAGAAGGTGCTAGCTAGCCAGCTGAGAAAGTGAAAGAGGAGTCCTAGCCGGTTCGAGTGTTGATAGAGGCCACTAGTGGAGATTATTTTATGTTGGAAGAAAAAACAGCAGGAATTAATTAAGTGGTACAGAAAACGGAACATTCGTAAGTAAGAAGAGATTATTTCACTGACAGGGGTAAACATTTGGGTGAGTGTTAACAATGCCATTTATGTTGACAGAGGGATAGAGCCACAAAGTTTAGACTGGGACAATCAAGGTTTTTGAAAACAATAATAAATTTTATATGTATAATTAGTGTAGTATTAGTAATTAGTAAATTATAGTTATTTAATGTTGAATGAGTGTTCAGTTGTCAGAACTCAACCTGAGAATTTATGTTATGTGTTAAAATAAATAGTATATTGAAAAAGGAAACTCGTTGTTTGATTTTGGAGGGAAAGAGGAACGTTACAATATACACACGCAGGGTGTCCCGTAAGTGGAGGGAGATATTTAAATAGTTAAAAGTAGACATCAAGTAATAAATAAATGCTCAATTTCCAGCTGAAAAGTAAGAAATTTAAGATTTGTGTTTTTTTAAGCATCACGTTTTTTGCTGAATAGGAAGCGATAACTTAAAAAATATTTGATTTGAGAAACTAAACATTACTCCATAGTAAATTAGATGAAATATACTTTAAATGAATGTAGAGTTTGTCATTGGTAAAACTATTTAATGAGGACTATTGGGCGGACAAACACAGATAAGTTTCGTTTAAAAAAATGTCATAAATTATTTGTGATTTTTTTTTTTATCACCCTTTAACTATACTACAAACCTCTGTTGGGATTCGAATAAATTATTTGAAATTTTATTGAGGTAACGAATAATAGATAAATATTTATTCGTTATTCTTATTTGATGACCTTTGGACAGATAATTATTGGTTATTTACAGATAACATGCATTATCGCCTCAAGTTGTGTAAGTAAATGATGTGATTTTCTATCCAGTCAACTGAAAGTATCCCTGTTTTAAGCAAAAATGACTATGATTAACTGTTGCCAAGCTTTATTTATTATTTTTCCGTGTTTTGGGATGTATTATAATAAGCATGATTGCCTAAAATTGGACATTTTCTTTGCCTAAAATAACTCTAAAACTGAAATAAAACACCCTCAAATAAGAAAAACAGAAGTATCTCAAAAATTATTTTATCTTTCCAGGCTCTCTCTGCTTCGGACCTTAATCTTGTTACTTATGTGTGTGAAAAAGTGGACACTGGTAAAGTTTTCACCAGATGTGGCTGTGTTCTTCAACAGCATGTTCTGTTATCCCTTATTCAACAGTTAGCTGCTGATATGACCTCTCATAGCGATGTTAAGCAAAAGTAATATATTTTTCACTTATTAATTTATACATTTTTATTATTGTTTAATTTATATATATATATATATATATATATATATATATATATATATATATATATATATATATATATATATATATATATATATAATTTATTATTATTTTAATTTTTATAGACTATAATGGTTAAGCATGTTAAAGTGAGGGTCCTAGAATGCCCATTTCTGAGTGATGCAGGTCTGATAGGTTGAGTCCCCTAGATACTATCTTAGTTAGACATTTTCACTCTGGTTATTATCATATAGCTTTCAATCAGGTTATCTGTCACACACTAGATCAGGTCTGGCAAATACAAGGCTCACTGAGCAAATTTTTATTTTAAAAAAAGAGATGTTCCAGGAAAAACATCAAATAATTGTTAATTACTTATATAATGCCTACGGTTTTATCTATTTTATAGGTCTACATCAGACTAAAAAGAAATGCACAAAGAAGGTAAAAAAACTATTGTATGAGTAAAAAAGATTTACTGACACACGTATGAATGTACGAAATTCGTAATAATTAAGGTTAAAGATGGAAAAATTATAGTATCTGCTATAATAATAAACAAAAGAAATAAGTACAGTCATAAGATTAACTAATATACTGCACAAGTAATAACTGGTAGAATAACTACTTTATTAAACAGTAGTAACAAAATTAGTGTTAATATACATAGAAAAATAAATAACTTTGAGTATTTTAGTAATAAACTGTATTTTGGGACAAGTTTCCCTAAGAGTAACAACAATACAAAAACACATATCTGACCAAAAACTACATTAACAAAAATTCGAACAATATTTACAGTAACTTCTATATTAGTATATAATTAGTTAAAAATAAAATCTTTTCACGGATAAATATAATTAAAGTAAAGGAAGAAATGACAAAAATGAGTAAAGACAGAGCATTGATTTTTTTATGTTAAAAGATAAACGATTGGAACTACTGTTTACTTCTAACAAGAGGAAATTTGTTCCAATATGTAATTTTACTGTTGTGGAGCATCTGTAAGAAGGTGCTGGAAAAGAAGGTGTTTGAATGATGATAAGATAGGCAGTTGTATGGGAGAGAGTATAGAGATCAGATACCCTGGATCTTGTTTTCTGAGTGTTTAAGCTGATAAAACTGGACTGAGGGTTTAAGCTAATAAATAGACCAGTCAATAAACGATGTATAGAGTGCATGAGCAGAGATCTAAGTAATTTCTTCAGAAACTCATTCAGAGTGCTTAGTGTATGAACATATCAAAAGTCCTAACATCTAGGTGGTGAGTTGAAGGGGGAGGGGAAGAGGAAATGTCACAATTTTGGATTTTCCCTTATATCTCAAATATGGTGCTTCACAGGAGAAATATGTCGTATAATAAATTAAAGTTTATAAAATTATCTTAAACTTTTATAGGTTTTATCCAAATTCTAAACTATTTTTGAGCTACATGCTCGGAAAAACATAACATTTTTGAAAAAAATGATTTTGCCTCACATTTTTCATCAAACATTCCTTCATATCATCCAAGCTATTCATCTGAGAAAGAAATTCATTTCAAAGAAGTTTTAGAGACATAAATTTCCTATAATATATACATACAAATACAAATTAATACAGTCTACAGTTACAGGTATTTTAAATTTTTTTGGAAAATGTTCTCATTTTCAGAAAAAGTTGTTTTTATTATATTCTTGGTCCAAAATGTCTGTTCGTTTGTCTAATAATATGCGTGACCACTCTCTAAATCCAATTATTAAATAAGATAGAAAAATCATCTTACTTTCAAAATTTAACATTGTATTTTATAGATAATGAAATTCTCATGATAATTTTATTCTATTAGATACATACTATTATAAACCTCATTGTTCTCAATAACTTCTTAATATTACTCACAACTTTATATGGATTCACGTTTTTATCCACTTTGGACATGCGGCTCTTGGCAAGTTATTTGTCCTTGGCACCATCACCCTCAGTAGTGGCACACGGTGGGCCAGACCCTCCTACCTTACACTTTCCACATCCCTATAAATTGCATATCGTTGTTTTCCTTGCAGCTATTTGTTTAAAAAACCCCAATGGTTCCATAAAAAAAAAAAGTGAACGCGCTGCCCCAAATGGCAAATTGACAACTTTGATTTGAGTTAGTTTTCTGATCACTGAGATTCAGCATTGGGTTTAATTTTTGTCATAGTTGGCATTAAAACTGAATGGTTAGAGGATAATAAAATATGACAAAATATTGAAAAATAATTGGTTTAGGCAATAAAAATGCTGGTAAAGTCAATTTGTTAAAACTAATGTTGAAAATCAAGTGTTGTTTATAAATTAACGCCCAATAATATATGGAAAAATGCCTTTAAAAAAATATCTGGGCAATACATTTCTCTTTCCAAATCAGTGTTTAATTTTTTTAATATTTGAAACAGTTCTTTAGAAAATCCACTTAATCGGCGGAAAAGGCAGTACTTTTAGCGCCTACTTTCTTCTTCCTCAGTACTCGTAAATGGCATAGTTATAGGGCTATAATAAAATTGTTGGTATAACTTTTGTTCGTTTGTGTAATAATATGTGTAGCCACACTTTAAATTCAGTTATTAAATAAAGTAGAAACAAAAGTAATTTATCAATTAACACAATTTTTCATTTATACCCTGAACAAATTTCTGAAGGAATCACTTAGGTACCTGCACAGGCACTCTACACCCCCTTTGGGAATTATAAATGAGACAGTAGATATAGGAAGAGTGCTAGGTGTTCCTCGATCAATATAAAATGATCCGAGAAAGTATTGACGGTGGAAAAACCACTTAAACTCGCTATATACGAGAGACATGAGACTGTCTTTAGGTCCTCAAGGCAAATCTTTATAATAATAATTGTTAATATATATGGTGTCCAGTTGTGTACTTCTGATGCCCTCCGCCATTATGGGTATTCCAAGTAGCCACTAGATTCAAGATTATATGCAATATTTACCATCATTTGTAGCTTTGATTCTACTTTTCTCTGGGTATCACCATGGTAACAACTGTTGCTGGCTGATTATTGCTATATTAATTTTTAATGAGTACAAATCTTAATTTTTATTTAAAGGTGAATAAAGTTATAAATCAAATTTTAAAAGATTTAAATGGAATTTTCTTAGTGTCAGTGTATTAGGCATCACATTTGAAAAATATTGAAACCTCAAATGGTTTTATTCAGTTATTTGAATGTTAAACTTTAGTTGAAAATGAATATAAATAAAATGAATTTGAGAATATAATTGTAATAATGTCCCAATACAATAAGTATGCCCATGATTATTATATGGTTTATTTTTTTCATTGACTTATGAATAGAGTTAACCAAAGAATTTCTTTATATGAGATTATTGTTTTGCAGGTATCTAGAAGAAGCTGTCATGAATCTTTCCCCAGGTAATGAGAATACTCGGGAACACATGCCTCAGGTTTTAACCGGTCTGCAGAAGCAATTACAACTATTTCAGACAACTACTAATGACCCTCGATTGGCCAGTAAGGCAAGGATGTTGGTTATGGTTTGTCAGCAAATCGTCCGAAATCTTAAAGATGAATGGGATTGAAAGAATGTGATCTATTTTATTTATTCTTCTTTTTTTAACCACACAACAATTGTAAATTATATGAGATTAATGATGACAGTGCATTGTAAAAAAATATTACACTTTTAGACAAAAATAAATATATTTGTTATATAATTTTCATAAATCAGGTGTTTTTTTGTTGATTTGACCTTTACTATTATTATTTGTAGGTTTAGGTTTTTTTTTCTTGCAAGATAATGGATTTGGCCCGCCTTTCTTCTTTCTAGACCTTTTAATAATCTGGGATGTTGGATTTGGTTCAAGTATTTTTCTTTTCATCAGTTTTATAACCTTCTTTTCAGCAGCACTTACATCACAACTACAAAAAATAAATAATAATAAAGTAGATTATAACCAAACAGTTTATCCAAAAGATTTTTTGCTTGAATGGAATATTTATAAACTCCTACTTTTTTCAGTTCTCTTGTTATTAATACTTTTCAACCTAACAGCTTCAATGAAAAATAAAAATATTCTTACTATTAAATTTACACTTACTTAAAAAATTGTCTAAACTCGTTACAAGGTTACATTCTGTTGTAATATAATTTACAAAAGAATAATTTAATATAGAAGTTTAATCATAACCACTCTTTGCTGAACTATATACATACAAAAATTTTTTTTCATTAAGACTTATCAACACAAGTCCTATTTTGCACCTATGTATGTTATAAATAAAATAATGCATGCAAATTGTTATGTTTTGTGGAGTTATATAGAGTGAAAAAGATTTAATGCAATATTAATCCATATGAACAAAAAATGTTTAATCCAATTTTCATTAAAAAAACAAAACAACTAAAACTAAAATTTGGTCGACGATATTCTCATAAATAACTTCAAACAAATTTTAGAGTAGTATTAAGAAGTTGATTTTTTTCACCCTGGCTCTTGGATTCTACTATTTTTTTAACAGGGTTCTCAATTTTATGTGGTGCTGGCGCATTCGGGATTGCAAAAAACGGTAGTGGACACTACCACATTTACTCCAACATACTATATATTTAGTATATAAGTTGAAATAGAATTTCTTATTAAAGAAAAAATAAATAAGGTTATATGAAGAATAATATTCACAATTTAAAAAATAACCTTGGTATCATATGAAAGATAACTTAGCTAAAGTATAGACAAAATGAACTATAACTGGAAAAAATACAATGAGTTGATAACAATACACAGTGATATTTAATACCATACTATCATAGGCGCAGACTTTTTATTTTTATTGTGGGGACGGGCGATGGATTAAAAAAAAATGGTGAGTTTTTATTAAATTCTTGAAGGAAGTTAGTCGACTGTTCTACATATCATGAGTGATAAATATTCAGGACGCAGTCTTTTTTAAAAAAAAAAAAAAATTATTTATTTATTTTTAGTTTGTACACACACAATTAATACACTATTTTAATATGTGTATTACAATATTAGTTAAGATTCATGTGCCATCAATTACTATAGTTTATTATTTATAATTAGCGGTCGTATACTATTATATCTCTGATTGTAATTTTAAAAAAACATTTTCAGCCCTGAAGATGACCCACATGTTTGGGTTGAAACGTTGGCAAAAATAAAAAAAAATTTTTTTAAAAAAGACTGCGTCCTGAATATTTATCACACGTGAGTTTTTATTGTTTAAAATTCAACCTAATTATTGTGAAACCAACAAATATAATATTTAAAATTTATTTGTTTATATGTTTGTTTAGTTTATTTATAGATAATAAATATGGATCTTTTTTTTTTTTTTGTTTTACTTATATATACATGAAAATATCTATAAAAAAAAAATACAATTGAATATATAATACATTTGTTTATATTAAACATAAGAGGGTATAGAAACAGTTCCATAACATTGGTACATTTCTAGAACTTTTCAGTTAAAAAATAAATTATGTAAAAAAGTAAAAAATATTTTTTATTTGTTAGTGTGTACAATCTCAAATAAAAATACGTTTTCGCAGTCCGCTGTGGAAAATATGAATAATATAACGTGAAAATTAAGGGGTGATTGAAGCATAAAATTCTAGGATATGTTAATATACAGGGTGTCCCGTAAGTTGAGAGAAATATTTAAACAAGTAAGAGCAGACCTCAATAACTATAAAAAGAGTTCATAAGAGTCCTATAACTATAAAGAGACCTCAATAACTATAAAAAGAGTTCATATTAACAATGATCCGTTTTTCGGCAGAATAGTAGGAAATTTAAGTTTTGTGTTTTTTTAAAATAATTAATAGTTTTTGATCAATAGGAAGCGATAACTTAATATAATTGGTTAATAATAGATTCACTGTAAACTAAACAAAATTTACTTCAAACAAAAGTTGTCGTTAAAACCAATTAAGAAGTATTTTTTTTAGTACACTAAGCTAAGTTGTTTTAAAAAATTACTTGCGATTTTTATTTTTGACCCTCCAACTATATTACAAACTATGGATGGGTCGTTATAGATTTTTAGTGTACCTGTTCCATTCCCCGAATGGAACTTCCAAATTATCGATTCCATTCCAATGCCATTACTCCAAAATTCACAATCCAAGCTTGGAAGGCAACTATGCTCATCATTACACCCTCAACCCATTACCCTCAACTCCAAACACCTTAAATGGACAGGAAGAGATATCATTTCTCAATCATTACAACGTACCTTCAAGTACCACAGATAGAAAAAGGTTAAGGTAATTCAAAATATCGTTCCATCAGTATGTAATGGTCCGAATATGACACTTATCTCATGTTTTCTTTTTCAGAGGGATCCGAAAAAAATAAATAAATAAAAAAAACCTAAGCTCGGGTGATAATCGATAGTTTGATAGTAACTTTTGTCTAGTTAACAATGAAGCAATCGTTAATTAATTATGAAACCTAATGTTTTAATTATCATTTCCTATTCATCAAAAACTACGACTTACTTAAAAAACTGGTGCGCGCAACACAACTTTCACTTACCACTCTACTTTAGTATAAATTATTTTATATATTATTATTGGCAATGTTGGGCTATTATAAAATTTTTGAAGTGCATTTTTAACCAAGTTAAAGCTTCAAGCACACTGTAAACAAATCATTGATACCATTAAAATAACAAAAGTCCTATTTATTATATTGACGATTGATTATGGATTGTATGACTATTAATTATTAAACTATTTTTTCCATTGAAAAGTTTACTAAAATAGAATGATGAGATTTGCATTGCCTATCATAGATAGGTCACACTAATTGTAAGTGGATACTGTTGGGATATCACAAAGGGAAAATTCATCAAATTATTCACTAATTTAATTTTCTAAAAGTCTACATGATGATTTTTCGGAATAAGCGGACGATAGATACCTAATTATTTAAATATATAATATCAGATATAGAGTTATTAAATTACAGTAAATGTATTTAAGGTTAAATATCCATGAAATATTTTTATATTTCATTTCTTCCTTCACAGAAGTACAATGAAATGGTATTCTAAGCAAAGTCATTGCCTTAATTAGGTGGCCTTAAACAGTGTCATTGCCTTGAATCTGTGGATTTTAAATACTTTTTTTAACTTAAAAAAAATTTAAACGTTTACATTTAGTAAGAAAATTCCATTTAAATTCCTTGGAAACATGTGATTTATGTTTAATCATGTTAGTTTTCAGAAATTGTTATTTATATTTTTTCTAAAATTCTCCAACTATATATTATACGTATACCTTCTGACTATTATTTTTGGATTCATTTTCGACCAGGATAAGCATTTTTATTTTTTTCTTCTTTATTCAATTATGAAATTCTTTCAAAAGTTTTATTTAGCCATTTTTTATATTTACTGTCAATAAGAGAAAAGGAAGCTATTTTTTAAAAATAAATCAAATTAAAGGTACTTTAGAGGAAGGTGTATATGAACATTGGGCATTTAAGCCCTGTAAAGTGACATCAATATGGATAAGACATAGCTGATATTAAAAACAACTTAATAATACACTGATATACTGAGTTTAATCAAAATCGTTAGAGCCGTTTTCAAGAAAATCGTAAAAATGTGTATTGATATAAAGTGTGGTACTTCCGGTTAGCCAATTTTAACAAAAAAAGTTGATGTCACATTGGAACCTTAAATACACTAGTTAAGTTTCGTACGACTTTTCGTTTTTGAGTTAGGCTGGTTACACACCGACCATTTTGTGGGACTTGGTTGTTTCGACTCAGAGAACCTCAAAACATGTATTTCTGCTGAAAACTAAGATTAAAAAATTTTCATGATCGTGATATTTTCCCTTACTATATATTCCATATATAAGTAAGTGAAAGTAAAACAAAAACGAAAATTAAACTGCCTACTATTCTACCGTAAATCGAACTATTGTTTATATGAAGTTAATGGTTAATGATAGCTCTACTATTATTTGTTTAAATATTTCCCTCTACTTACGGAAAAGCCTATATATTTTTATCTTTGAATATAAATTACAATTTAAATAAAAGTAATATTTAGTTATCTATAAAATCGCAACATATCTAGGCCCTAGCCTTGCTAGCTAGTCAACTTTTCTTAGTCTATTTCAAACACATTTTATTCATTCATTTCGCTTATGTATTATTGATTTTATTTTAATTTTTGCCTCAAATTATTGGGAGGAAGTAAAGCAAAACGATATTCTCGCCCCCTCAACATTTTTATTGGGGAGGGAGGAAGGGAGGATTCCCCCTTCCATTTGGTCTGCGCCTATGCATACCATTGATATAAGAAATATACCAGTGCAGTTCATTTTTATTGATTTTATTTAGTTTTTTTTTTTAATGATTCTCTAGTAGCTGTATTTTCATCGTGAATTTACAATACAAAATTTTGGATAACAGATAAAACTTATACCATTAATGAAGACCAAAATATTGACTGTTTCAAGATTTTCTATCAATGGTTTTATATATATATATATATATAAAACCAATATATATATATATATATATATATATATAATATATATATATATATATATATATATATAAAATCAGCCATTTTTTTTATATTTATTTTGTTATGATACAGAATATGAATAAAGGTACTGAAATATTAAAAGATATTTTTGATATTCCGTCCAAAACCACTGGAACTACAAACTCCGACAATTTTTGGAGTAAATGACTTGCCTTGGTCAACTTATCACGCAAAATACATTTCATAACCATATCTCAAAAGTGGGAATAAAGGTTTATGGTGCTAGAATGCAGTCTATAAAACCTTTCCATTAATTTTGAGGCTCATTTAGCAATTTGAAGAGCATCTTTAGATTATTTCAAATCCAAATACTGGATAATAATCATTATTTTTTCTGTTGCTAAAAGCTATTTAGTGCACTTAATAAAATTTCTAAAGAATAGAAATCTTATGGGTGATAAGTATTCAGGAGGCAGTCTTTTAAAAAAGATTTTAATTTTTTTTAAAAGACTGCATCCTGAATATTTATCATCCATAATATGTAGAACAGTCGACTAGCTTCCTTCAATAATAGAAATCTTAGTTAATAACTATTTCAAACCTCTGATATAAATGTTGATTTGCTTTTTTCACACTTAATTCATTAGGTGGTCTGAGTGTTGGTGCTTTGTTGAAGATATACAACAATGGAATTCCTGGAAGACTGGTTACAAATCTTTGTAAATCTCTGTCTTGTGAAGCTAATATGTACCTAGAAAATATACACCAGATATTTTTTAATATATTTGCATTAGTGTTTTTATTAATTACATGATAAGAACCTAAACTAATTAATTGGTTAAAAGAAATATTCAATTCTTATTTCAGAATGGTATAGTACAGAGGCCTCCAAATTACAGCTTGCGGGCCAGATCCAGCCACAAGCAAGCACCTCCAATCCGGCCCGTGAAAGTTTCTTTGATTAAATGGTAAATTTCTAAAAACTATTTACAAAATATGAAATTTATTAAATTACTCAAACATAAGATTACTGCAACATTTATTTCATGAGTTGTTTCTCTTAGAAAGCTCATATTAGATCTGAAGTGTCATATTTTATCACAAGCCATGGCCCTTAGGATTTAGTGAACGTCTCAATGTGGCCCATTGGCCAAAAATTGTGGAGACGCCTGGTATAAAATAGCGCTTATTTCGGCACAGACTAATTAAAAAAATTATGCTACTTGTAGTAATTTTTGCTACTTTTAATTTAAATAATTAAATTATGAAAACCTGAAATCGCTATTCTTTTCAATCATTTTCTTAATGCAGGTTGCAGCAAATAAAGGAGTTTTATGACCACAGTGGTGAACTGGAAATTGTTTTAAAATTAATGTAGCACCATAAAGGGCAGAACCTAGAACAAAATCATTATTAGAATCAATCTAAAAAGTAAACAATTAATAAATTGTAATGTAATCTATTCAAAAGGTTTCATGCATACAAAAAATCCAAAAGGGTTTGAGAATCGCTTTTCTATCTCTTGATATAATAGTAATAATTAACTCATTTCAGATATCATAAGTGATGAAATGAAGATCATGTCATTTTAATGATAAAAACATTAGTTTAAAAAATAAACAACTGACTTCAAAACTGTACATCAGAACCACTTTGAATTTAGTATACAATTTGAACCATGCAATAATTTATCATTTTTTAATGTCGCTGCTCTAGTTGAATTGGGTAATACTGTTTTGAAGTTGGTTTTTATTTTTTAAACAAATGTATAATTTATTTATTTTTAGTGGTTTTATTTTGTATGTTCCTGCAGAGAATTCTTACCAATGACAAAGTTAGATTGAATAGTAATATTAAGATGTGATGTATCTGTATCTGAAAACTAGTGACACTCAATTGTCCCTCTATTGAGCAAATCCTTAATTTATTACTTTTTTTTTTTTACTTTCACTTACCTCTATATGAAATATATAATAAAGGAATGTATTGCAATCGTGAAAATTTTCAATCTCAGTTTTCAACAGAAATACACGTTTTTAGGTCCCATGAGTCAAAATAACCAGGTCCCACAAAATGGTATGTGATTGTGTTAACAGTCAAGCTCAAAAACAAATAGTCATACCTGAAATTGCATATTTAAGGTTTGCATATGCCTAGGATGTTACAACAACTTTTTCATCAAAATCAGCTAACCGGAAGTAGCACTTTATATCATCGATTTTAAATTAAGCAGATTTTAATATAATGTAGGTTTTATTTTCATTGATGTTCTCTAACCGGGCTTAATTGTCTAATTTTCAATATTTCTTCCTCTTAAGTACCATTAATTTTTTATTTGAAATAATTAATCATTTCACATTGATTTCTTATGTGTAAAATATAAAATATGAAAGACTTTGATAATAAACTAAAGGAGAAATAATATATCGTAATGGAGAATAGTTGAAATGGACGAACCAAAAGATTATGAGCTCGTCTAAAAAAAGATTAGAACAGTTTATAAAAATTATGTGCATGTGTATGTATGAAGTTGGAAATAGTAATATTTATTAAACCAAGGCTTGATTTGAAGTTTCTTTAAGTCTTTATTCTAAGTGAGGAATAATACTTAGATACAAAGTCGAGCGATTGTTAAGAAAGATGTTTATGGAATGTCAAGACTCTATAGTGGATTTACTTATAAATTCCTTGATCCTCATTAGTTAGTAAACCTAACTAATGTTGTTGGGATCCCTGCTTTTGTAGTTGTAACTATGTAAAATGAAAAAAAGTGAAAGTGGTTTTGGTAGAAGCACAAAATTATTGTAGGTGATCCTTGATTTGGTTGTAATTTACTTTCTTGTTTTTTTAATGTTTCCGACAATAAGCAATTTTCAATTTATGTATTTTTATTTTTACGAGTAACAAGTAAGGGATGCTTTATATTTTTAGGTCAGAAATAACAATTTTTTTTTTTTATATTAGGGATTAGTTTTTGTATTAGGAATTTAGATATGAGATTGATACAGAAACAAAAATCGAGATCTTAATTCGACTTTTCAAAAAAAAAATTTCATTAAATCCTACATTGCCATATCTGGCATTCGGAAAGATTGTCCTACAGGTACAATCAAACCTATTTCAACCAGAGCCGGAATTTTGAAATTCATTCTGACGGCCCGCCACTAAATAATTCAATTCACCAAGGCCACCTTTGAACTGGCGCTGATAGACTTGAGTATCTTAAAGCAGGGAATGCTTAAATACACTCAGGTCCTGATGGTCTTTTTTTTTATATGATTAATTTTGAAATTGATATGGTATATCTCCATGGTGAATCCATATAAATTTAATCAGGATCCGATGAAAACTTAAAGCGATTAAGAAACTTCTTCAAGAACAGCTGTATATTCCAGTTTAGATTATTCTATCTGTTTCTAAGCTATTTGTAATTTTATAAATCTGGTACAGTGCACGCACCACACAACTTTCACTTATCACCCTCTTCTTAGCAGAAATTTCTCAAATGGTTGCCACTTTTTTTATATTTAAACTACTTTTAACTTTGTTATTGTGATTATTATTATCTTTAGTCAGAGACAAAGTTGTGTTTATTTCATTGATAAGCAACATAATTTACACATGGTTTAGAGGTAATAAGAATTATGGATTTGGTTGCCGTTTTACTCTTTTCAACAAGAATGGTTATTCTCAAAGTTTCATGTACAAGCTTAATCAAAGTGATCTTAGCCAACACACCAGCCCAGCAGAGTACTTATAAGCTAAAACCGAAATATTGTTGTCCAGATTTGCTTGGATATGATGTAAGAAATAGAAATAACCACTGTACAAGTATCACTCCACTGGATTCCCAGAATAGGCAAGAATTGATAACTGTTGACAAAACAACTACCCTTTATTTAGATCATGATTTACAACTATAGTAAACTCTCTTACTAGTTCTATTCATTTACAAACCGACACTTGTCCATTCTCGGAATTTCATTTATGGTGTAATCATGAGTTCTTGTGTAACTGATGAAAGTGAAGTGACATAGGGTAGTAATAATAATTCACTTGACTTACCCAGTTTTTCCATTTCCAAAATAACACAAGGTGTAGTCAACAGTCTAACATCTCCAAGATATTTTTGCAGTTGTTCAGCAATGTTTATTTTGTTCTATATAAAAAAAATTCATGATGAAAACTTATAATTAAAATGGTTATTTGGATAAATGAGAAATAAAAGTTTATACCTGTAATGCTGTGTTACAAAATGTTCCATCAACCAACACCTGGTAAGGTTTGCTGAATCCAAAGTTATTAGAATAAAACTTTAGAATTCTACTAACTTTCTTTTGACGATTAATTCTCATTTTTAAAAACTTGCATTGAAAGCGAGGTTAAAACTTCAACAATATCACGAATTCATAATAGACTAAGTATAATTCCTTTAAACAGAAGCTGTTCAAAACAAATCTAGAATCGTTCAGTGAAGAAGTTCGAGAGCTATAATAAAATTGAAAGGTGTAATTGTCCAAAGTTGTAGATTTTTCCATTAGCTCTATGTTTTTATTTAAGTTTTTGTGTGTGCTTATAATTTCATTGCTATAATTATATATTAGAGCCGTTATAGAGTTAGTGCCAAATTGCAGTTAGGATATTGAAAAAGAATTAAAAATAGGCAAGAATTGATATTGATAACTGCTGACAACACAACTTCCCTTTATTAAGATCATGATTTACAACTCCAGCAAACTCTCCACTAGTTCTATTTTTCTTCTGTTATCATTCAAATGTTCTATTCAAAATGTTATCATTTTGCTCATAATTATCAACTAATTAATATTTGATGAATTAAATTATCCTTTTCTAAGAGCAAAACACTGTGAGATTTAAATTTGCTAGTATATTCACGCACCGTTAGCATAAATATTATTTTATTCAAAACTAATTAATGAGTAGAAACCATCCTACCTAGTACTTCTTTATTTGTCTATTTACCCAGAATTACTTTACTTAAAGTATTTTCCACAACAATCGAGTATGACAGAACACAATAGTAAAGTTGGTTGCTTAAATAAGATATAAAATACTAGTTTCATCTAGCTTATCTCCTGACAAAAAAAAAATTAATAACTAGATATAAAATTGCGGTTAATATATTTAATAATAATTGAAGCCATTGGCGTCTGAACTGAGAGATCAAATGACTTTCTGCACTTCCCTTCATTACTTTATACGAATTCTTTTCAGTTCTTCATTTTCCATTCATTTACTTAAAAAATAATTCTATTGACCTATTGATAAAATCGCATATTTAAAGATGTGTTTAGAGATTTCCAAATTATGGGAAACACAATTATCTAAATTAACATACAGCAACAGCATTGCTAAACCAAACTGTTTATTTTATTTGTCTTGATACTGACAGAAGATGAAAAATATCAAAAACAAGAAACAAAAATACTAGCATAGTGAAATAAACAATTATATATTTGTTTGTCTCTCAGTTTGAGAGATGCCAATAAAAAAATAAATAAAATAAACACGGTTTCATAATCACTTTAGAAGATAAATATTCAACAAATCATTAATTTTGGCTATTAAAGTGTGTATTTGTGAAGTTATTATCATTATGATACATTCCAGATCACGGAAAAAACGTAATTAAAGCTTTTCAATAATCTAATATAGTCATTTTTGCTGAAAACACGAGTACTTTTAGGCGATAGGATATCAAAATACCTCATTTTTTGCACAACTTGAGGTGACTCCCAACTTATTTCTTAATAAATCCTCAACTTACTTAATATGACCTTAAAACTTTTTAAGCAACGAATTTTTTCTAAAACTGGGGTATATGTAGTATATTTGGAGGATTATGAATAAAAACATGAATAATTCATAATCTTTTTAAAAACAGAAATAAAAATAGTATATTCAAATGTATTCTTTAAATGGTTTCAAATTGAAAAACTCTGCTTGTATTTGAAGTAAATTGTCTGTATTTTGTTGTTAAGTAATTTTTAATTATTTAAATGAAATAGTTTTTTAGTTATCACTTCCTATTCAACAAAAACGTGATTTACTTAAAAAAAATCAATTTCCTACTGAAAGTCGGCAATGTTAAATGACATAAAATTCAAATATTACATAATATAAAGTAGCTTAAGAAATATTTTTTTTATAGGGATGACTTTAATGCTCGGAGACCCCGAATGCCTAAAAGGCCCATTACAGGGTCAATATTATCGAAGCATTAACATTTAAGGCAAATATAGGGAAGAGTAACCTCACAGGGGTCAATTATATTAGTCAATATTATATCAGTTAAGATCTTGCTTTCACTAAAGTAGGAAGTTTCCTAAGAGGTAATCTTTTCTTTTTTGGAAATGAAAAATAATGGGATTCCTCCCCCTCCCCCCCCCAAAAAAAAAAAATTAAGGTAAAAAGCTATCACCCACCTACCCAAACATTGCAATTTTAAAGATAAAAAAAATTCGGAGGGAGAGGAGGGTGAACCACCTAACCAAATATATATCCATTTTATCTTTAAACATAATATTTGGGGGAAGGGGTTTAATCCCCCCTTAAAAAAAAAATACATTAAATTTGTTAACACCCATAGCTTTTCAATATCCATACATTTAATTTAATATTGCTCACTATAGCCCTTAGACGTGAAATTATGATGACACTGTTTGAATAATATTGAAGGAGCTTTAATAAAACAAAAACAAATTTATATCAACCAGTTCGATTGACGTGAGTATAATTGATGCAAATGTAACCCTTACATGGTCAATATATTGACGAAACTCGATATTGACCGTATAAATTGCCCTTAAGACCGGCACTGATTGTTTATATAAACTTTTGTTATATTCTTTAGGTCTGCTAGCAACCCTTTAAGTATTTCTTTCTAATTATGGTACATCTGAATATATGGATCTTTGTTTGGTTGAGTAGCTCGTTTAGGATGTACACATTTCTAAACCGTTCGTTTTGATCTCATAGTTGGTGAGCGACTCATTGAAATTTTGAACAGAGTTGACTTCAGTTAGGAGTGGAAATTTATTAGCATGGATAGTGAAGTTAATTACGATGGTGAACCAGGATTTTGTCCTGATTGTGGTTCTATATTACCGTTGCTAGAAGATAGAGGAATAGTAAACTGTTACACCTGTAAAAGACAATGCAATGCTGAAGGTGATATGTTTTACAATTTTATTTATTAAATAAATTGGTCTTGATTAGTTATCCATATTAATGATATATAATTATGGTTTTTATGGTTAATATTAAACAATCTTCGCTGTTTTAAACTTTAAAATCTTTTACTTTTGTGTGTTCTCAATCAATGTGTTATTAATTGTGTGTTCACTCTGACTGCAACCCCAACCATATAGCCTACAGTCAACAATTTCTTCATCCTTTTAAATTTTTATTGATTTTAAAGTTAATTTCATTTGAACTTAAGGAATAATAATCTTAGAGGTATGTAAATCATTATTTTACATATGTTTCCCCAAACATTCATTATATCCTTTTGTAATTACTAATTTGTGAATTAAATCACAAAATATCCAGATTACTTGACAGATCCTCCAAATTAAACTTATTTAATAAATTTACCATCTACAAATTGCTTATAAAATTTGTAAGAGCATATAGGATAGAACTATGGGAAACTGCCAAATCTTCAAACATCCTAGAAATTCAATCATTTCAGTCAAAAGCATTTTGAAAAATAGTGATTTATGTCTTGTCACATTGTTGGATGTGACAATTGGACACTTGCTACAATATGATTTGGAAATCCTAATGGTATCGCATATTATAACAGCGTAAAGGAAAACTTTCACCATGAACTTTAGCACAAACTCTTGGTTAATCCATTAACCATTTATTCCAAATAGATGAATTTTGAGAAGCTGGCCTAGAGACTTTCTAACTTTAACCCCTACCTGGATAAGAGCACACATTTGCTTATTGAAAAAAATACTTTTGCAGATCATAAATCTCTCAAAATATATTTTTACAGATAATGATAATAATAATAATTATAAAATTAAAAAGAGAAATAGAATTTTACTAGAATTCTCATTAGGATTTATACCTGAATCTGTTGGTTATTAATTAAAAAATTGTGTAGAAGGAGATGGTCTTGGGTGACGGTCATAAATAGACTAATAGTGGAAAAACTATTTTATTTGAAGCCAAAAGTTTTAACCCGACTTTTCAGGGCCTGAATGGATGGGATACAAAAAGATATAGAAAGTTGTGGAAGTTACATAATATTTAGATAAAAATTATAAACTTATTGAAATTATAAACACTAAGTACATTGAAATATAAAAAACAATAAACTATATAAACAGAGTAAGCTAAGTAACAAGATCTTAAACTGAAGTAAATTAATGGTAACAATTGGTGTAGTATAATATATAATATATGTACTTATGAATATACTGGCCATCTATGCTGAAAGGAATAAAGAATAAAAAACGGGAACATCGTCTGGCATGAGGCGTGCGTCATGGAAAGATGGAGGGAATATTTTAAGGATAAAGTCAGAGGGGAGAGACGTTGAGGAGCACGAAACCCGGAATGATGTAGAGGATATTTGGGATGAGAAAGACAAGATCAGTGATGAAGAACTCTACGATGCAATTGGAAAGACAAGACTAGGCAAGGCAGCTGGACTCGATGAAATTACTCCTGAAATGATGAAGTACATGGGCAGCAAAGTTCAAGAAATGTTCCTCCATCCTTTAAACCTGTACTGGAAGAAGAAGATTCACAGAGACTGGGGAGTAGCGCTGACCCACAAAAAGGGGGACAATCGGGAGTGCAGCAACCATAGGGAAATATCCCTTTTCAGTGTGCCTACAAAAGTCTACTCTAGAATTCTAGAAACAAGAATGAGGAAAATTGTCGATTGCCAACTAAGAGAAGAACAGTATGGCTTCAGGAATCAGAGAAGCACACAGGATCTCATATTCACAATGAAACAAATAACATAAAAGACTGTTGAGAAGGATAGAGAGCTCTCCATCTGCTTCGTGGGTCTCCAGCAGGCTTTTGGCAGAGTGAAGAAAGAAGATATAGAGAGGGGGCATTGTCTGAGCGGAGTTTAGACCATGGAACAACCTTGCCGGTGATGAGTTTCTATAAATAGATAAGGAATGTGATTAAAATCAGAAACCACATTTCAAAAGAATTTGAGACTACATTAGGTATCCGACAGGGCTGTAGCCTAAGTCTGTTGCTCTTCATCATGGTTCTGGACTTGGAAATCTGCACCCTACCAGGTATTTCCTGTTGAACTTCGCCGACGACCTCGTCTTATTTCTTTTGATTCTCATGTTAACAACGTTGAATGTTTTTGTTTTTATAGTAAAGAAAATGAGTAACATTTAGGTCACAAGAAAACTTAAACAATGTTTCTCAGTTCTGTTTTAACTAATGCAGGATAAAAGTTGTAATTATGGCCAGTTTCAAATAACTGTTCTTGTCAGAAAATATTAAAATTTTGACTTTAATTGAAGTGAAGGAATTCTCAAGGGAAATGGCGAACAGAGTTACTACCAATCAACAGTAGTCATAAATAATTTTATTTGTGACATAATAAGGAGCATTAAGGGTTTTATAGAGGATTTTAGATTGTAAGGATTGGATAAAGATTAATTTGATGATTTTGTGAAGCCTCAAAGTTGAAATCCTTTTATCCAAATGGGCTGGATGATAGTGTATATGAGTTTTTGTAGAATATTAGAAGTTAAGAGCATTTATCAAGTAAGTGTTGTAGTAGTCGGAATCTATTAGCAGTTTCTTTTCTTTCTCAGTCTAATATGAGGATTCCAAGTAAGATGCTTATCAATAAAGAGTCCTAGGTAAGGGATCTGTTCGACAGGTATAAGTGGAATATTGTTAAAGGATGTAGTAGGTTTAGGATGAACAGTAAAAGTAATTTGTTTGTATTAATTTTGATTCGCAAGTTTTGAAACAATTGTTCAATGGCTGAAATGTGTGACTGCCGGGATTGAGATGCAACAATTGGTTAGTGAAAAATGATCATGGAGGTGTCCGTTTTATGATAGTTCATCCGCTTTTTCTCAAAATACTTTCACTTATGGTTGTGCAAATATACTTTCCATGATATGTATATATTTGAAAAACGGCTCTTTTGGTTTGTTTGGCTCAAGTTGAAGAAAATTTGGGAAAGGTCGTGCAAATCGTGTAGTAATAAAATTTAACCAAATTCTATTTAACTATTAAAACCAATATATCTAATTAAGATTAGCTGCGAAATGTAGCATAAGTTAAGATAGTTCATATAATTTTTAAAATACATATCTTTCAGTATTATCGCCAATGTAATTTAATAAAATTTTCATAGATTGTAAGGGTTCAAACGAGGATGATTAATTTTTTGCCAAGATTGACTAATTGAAAGGGGCACTTTATATCATTGAATTTTCATGTACTTATAACTTTCTAAAAAATGTCTTTAATATTATATAGGTATTATCCTCATTAAAATAATATCCCTTAACAAATGCTTGCTAACTTTTGTGAATATATGGCTTGTGTTTAAACTCATAAACCATAATTGTTTCCAAATGTTAGCAATATTTGTGTTCAATTGATCTATATGCACCTTCGGGACTGAGTATCCCAGAATGAAGATTAATTTTTTATTCATTCATTCCAATTTTTTTTTTTTCTATATTTCAGTGTTCAAGAATCTTGAATCATTTTATGTGATTCATTTTAATTCATATGATAAAAAATCTAAGATGAATGTTGAAGAAGAAAATGATGGTCCTACAGTAGAAAGAAAATGTCCTCGTTGCAATAATGATAAAATGTCATATGCAACACTTCAGTTACGATCTGCAGATGAAGGCCAAACAGTTTTTTATACATGTACCAATTGCAAGTAAGTATTTAATTGTTAATTCATTGTTTTTAATTATCATACAGATCCTGTATAATATTAATAAATATTTTCTTAATTACTGAATGTAGTATGGAAAGTACTTGACAATGTATTTATCTACTAATCAAAGCACTATTTTTCAAGGTTACTTTCTCATGCTATCATATACAGTATTAAAAGAAGTTAATCAACCGTTCTACTTATCATGTGATAAATAATCAGGAGGCAGTCACTTCATCAAATTTTTATATCGCCAATGTTTCGATCCAAGCTTGTGGGTCATCGTAACATTACTTGATGATGAATGAAGCTTGGGTTGAAAGGTTGGCAACAATAAAAATCTAAATGATTCTAACTATTTATCTCTTATCATATAAAGTGTTTTCAAAGAATTAATTACCTTACCATTTGACTTCATCCATAATCCATTTATGCACCATTGAGTGATAAAATCATCTTTTTAGATTGACTTGAGATTGACTAGCATGGCATCATGGTGGAAATGTTGCCATGCTAATAGAAATTGTAAAATAAATAAAAATGTGCTGAAAAATTACAGCCTATTTATGATTACGGTAATTTGGTGTGAGCCAAATATTACCCATTGACCTGTAATTGAATTCTATTGTGCTGATGATTGTGAGAATCAGTGTGGACTGTATGAGGTTGGATCACTGAAATTTGATACATGATTAAATTAAACAAATGATTGAAAACATGATTATATTGCATATAATTTTTTTGAATACAAAAAAAAAATGGAATTCGTGTACTTTACAATTTTGTTGTTAAAAGTTAAAATATACATTTCTATTTTTTAATTGGCAGTGGTGAAATTAAAATTAATCATATGGCATTGCCATGTTGGAAGTGATTTCGCTTCTTATTAAAATTGCATTGCCACTTTAGACTCACTTGCTCTCTGAAATTGAGCTTTCATTTTTTTTGGCTTCCCCTTCTTCCTCCCCGTATTTCCTCCACCAGGCTGTTCTCTCGAGGTTTAGCAACTCTTTGTTTTGTGATTTCTGAAGCAAGTAACTGACAGTGTGCACACTTCACCAAATGAATTGGATTAACTGAACAGGAATAGTTTCAGCAAAATGGATGCCAATAAAATGGTGGTGAAGTACAGAATTGTTTGCATTTGTTTTTTTGTGTTTCAGGGATTGATTCCTGAACAGCCCAAATTATTTTAATACCTAAATAAGAATTTCAACTTTTTACGTAAAAATATTGCTAAGCAAATATTCATCTTTCGTCACCAATATTATCAAAAACTAGACTCCTGATTAATTTTCAACACCACTTCTAGCCCTAGCCCTAGAAGAGCAACTTAGGCTACAGCCCTGTCGGATACCTAATGTAGTCTCAAATTCTTTTGAAATGTGGTTTCTGGTTTTAATCACATTCCTTATCTATTTATAGAAACTCATCACCGCCCAGGATATCTCGATTTTGACTACCCAAAAAGTAGTTTGTAGTTCTATTTCTTCATTCATGATTCTTTTATATATTTATTTTTGTTACTTTTACTTTTAGAGGATTCTTTAGTGAGTTATGCATATTATTGCCTACAAGACTAGTAGGCAATAATATGCATTCATTCCAAGTTGAAAGATGGATTCATAATGGTGAATCAATAACAGAAAAAGTTATAAAAAAAAAACATAAATATTATAAATAATTGTGCATAAAAACTGAGATCATGATATAAAAGGAACAATTCAGAATTCTAAAAGGAGAATAATAAGTTCCAAGAGAAATCTATTATATAAAGGTCAAGCCATTTACTTGAGAGCTGAGTATGGTGAGTGGGTTGATAGGGAACGATAAAAAGGTTGAGGGAATGGATTAGGTCTACAAGGTATAATTTGTTTAGAGTCGGAGGACAAATTAGTATTAAAATTGCCAGCTACATTATTGTATAAAACAGGGTTCTCCAAACTTTCTGGCATGTCGGCCACACTGAGCACCTCCACCATGTCCAGCACAGGGACTGCTCCACAGGGGGACTTTCATATAAGTTCCACAAGCCATGGCTTGTGATAAAAAAAAAAAATATCTTGTTCTATAAATGACACTTCAGTTGTGAAATGAGTTTTCTAAGAGAAGAAAAAAAACATGCAATAAATGTTATAGTAACCTCTTGTGTGAGTTATTTGCTAAAGTTCATATTTTTTTTAATAGTTTTTTAAAATTTTACCATGTGATTGAAGAAACTATTGTAGTCCACTGGCCGTAGTTTGGAGGCCCATGGTATAAAGGAACATATGTAAAAAGGGAAAATTTAATGATTTTTCAAATATTTTTAGGTAAAGGTTTTATGAAACTGTGTTTTTCTTGCAGATCTTTATTATAGGAATTGATCCTTATTTATAAGTGTCAAACTAAATGTTTCTAGTCCTAAAATTTATTTTAAAAATAAAGAAACCTGCCGATTGCTTCAATTATTTCCATGAATGAATATGTTTATAATCTTAAATGTTTTTGCTGTATTTATATTTTAATAATTAGGTATCTATTGGCCATTTATTCCAAAAAATCATCAAGTAACCTTTTAGAAAATTTAATTAGTGAATAATTTGATGAATTTTCCCTTTTTGAAATCCCAACATTACCCAGTTACAATTAATGTGACAACTTTTGATCTATCCATGGCAGGCAATGAAAATCTTGTGATTTCATTTTAGTAAACTTTACAATGGAAAATAACAGTTTAATAATTAATAGTTCTACAATCGATAATCATTTATAGGTTAAATATTCAGATGTACTTTCAAATCTCTAGGCATATATGAGCCTTTTGGTTGACAGAATGATAACGACAATTTCAACATTCTTTATTATTAATTTTAGTGATGTTTCTAGTAGCAAAATTTATATCTTCACAGTTCTATATTTCAACAGTTCTATTTTGCAATCACCTATTCTGGAATCAACTTGCTCACTGTCTGTACAGATATAACTTTTCCAACTACAAATATTACTAAAGTGACATTACTCAAAAATTTTGAAATTGGAGTTAGCCATTCTCTCGATTGAAAGGCTCAAATACTGAAGTTATGTGATTTATAAAAACAGATGTAGAAACTAGATTTTTATTGACTACCATCGTTAATATAATAAATAGACTTTTTATAATTTTAATGGTCTTAATAATTTGTTATCTTTAAGCTTTAATTCAGTTTAAAATGTACTTCAAAATTTTTATAATAGTCCAACATTGCCAGAAAAGTAATTTCTATTCAAAGTAGAGGGGTAAGCGAAAGTTGTGTGTTGCGCGCACCAGATTTTTTTCCTAATAAACCTTAAATTAATTAATATAGACTTAATGCTTATTAAATGGGGAAGTTTTTCTAAAAGTGGGGAATCTGTTGTATATTTGGAGGATGATTTAAAAAAAAAAAAATAATTTAAGATTTTTTAAAAACAACTTAGCTTATTTTTGGCTGCTCAAAAGTTCTCTTTAAATGGTTTTAAAAATCAGGGATGCCCTTTTTGAAGGGGCACTTTTCAACGGGGTTTTCAATTTTTAAGGGAGCCACATTCGATGGTGTTATGAATTTTCAAAATAAAAAGTTTCAAATCTAAAGATAAGTGGAATCATGGAAAAGACCAGATACTATTATATCTAATGTTATATAATCTACAAATATTCAAATTCTACTTTCATTTGTACTGGTTTTAAAGAGGAATAAAATATGTTGGGAGGAATGGGGAAAGGTTTATGCATCATCGACCTTGGGAAGGGGGAGATTGACAAACTCTATTTTAATTTTAAGTAAATTTTGTCTAGTTTACTGCTAGGGATTGGTAATTACTTAAACGAAGTATTTTTTTAGTTATCACTTCGTATAAAAAAAACAAAAAAACATGACCAGCCCAAAAAAACACAAAGCTTATTTTTCAAAAAAAACAAAAAAAAAAAACTATTTTTCTGTTGGAAATTGGGTCATTGATTATAAGAACTTTTTTGTAGCTCTTGGTGTCTAATATCTTTTAAAAATTTCCCTCTACTTATGGGACACGCTGTATATGAATTAAATCCTGGATCCGCTACTGGCATTTGGTAATTAATGATAAAGTGCACAATTCTAATTGATCTACTTTATTAATTATAAAATAAAATGTATTCCATACTAAGCCTGTTAATGTTTAATTTATTGTCAATTATACTCTCCAACCATATTTTTTTTTTTTATTGAAAAATATTACAATCTGTCTCAAGGACATTTATAATAGTGTTCACAGATCACATTCACACTCTATGTACAGTAAATAAAATAAATTATACAGAAAAATAACATATATACAATAAATAAGAATAAAATAACCTAAAAATAAATGAATAAAAAGAACACATACATACCTATATAGAATATTTACAATCTGGTGAGGGAACTCCAAACAAGACTTGTCCCTCCAAGTGTGGAGGGAAAAGCATGGCTCCAGGAGATCCCAGCACTTCTCTCTCAACCGCGTCACTGGGGCTAAACCCAGTGGAGATTGAGCAAGAGTGCTTAAACCATATACACTCATATCGTGAGTGGAGAATCTGGCCATTGCCAGAACTCCAATAACCAACCATATTAATTGTTAGTTTCTGTTATTATATCATATCTTTAATGTGTATACTATTATTATTATTATTACAATATGGAATGTATATTATATTATACAATATTATTATTTTTACAAATTGAATATACTTTATTTATCTGTTTTATTATTACAGATTTAAAGAGACAGAAAACTCATGAAGAATATTATTTTTTTACGATCTTGTTGTGATTGTTGAGAAGATATGATGATCTAAAAATCCATCTATTGTTGCTTTGTGAATAGAGTGTAATTATTTACTGCCAAAACATATTTTGTTAAAGACAGTATTTTGTTATTTCTTATATATTTTTTTCATTTTAAGTATAAAAGTTATCAATCCACTAGATTGTAATTTGAGTTATTGAAACTGACAATAAAATAATATTTCATACCAATAAATGAAGAAACATTTGATATTGATATAATGTTGAAATTGGTATTGATCTCACTTATTAAATGTATAAATATTTAAAATATACTGTACAATGATTAATAAAAAATAATAATAATAAAGTAAGAAATCATATTTTTACTTATTAGTTAAGTAGTTTTAGACAGTTTAATAATTATATAGGTGTATATAATACAATTTTTCATTTTTTCACAATAAATTATATTTTCCAGTCTTTCGTTTCATATTTTATGAAATCTTTGAATTTCCCATACAATTTTAACTAATTAACATTGATCTGAAGTAATTAATAACAAGTAAATTAGTTTTTAAAGTATATTTTATCATAGAAAGTTGCTCAGAATGTTCAGATTTGAGAGAAAAATGCTCCATATGATGATAATCAGAGCGAACTGGGATCAAAGTACTAATTGAAGAGAGGTACTAAAAAAAACAAGCACTACATACAGAAACTGGCCAATCAATATCTTATGGTATATAGGGGAGGAGGTTAAGATGGGTGGGACATATAACTCAAAGCATCCATCAGGAAGCCTATACCCAACAATGAATATCTGAGAGACCACACAGAAGGCCAAAAACCTGAAGGATAGATCTAATTAACAAAGATACAATAAAGATGGATACAAATAACCTAAAAGATTTTCGAGGTATATAATTCAAACAGAAAAAAAATGTAATTTCCTAAGTCTCCTTTGTTTTTTTGTCACAAAATTGCTTAAAGCATTAGTGCTTTTGGCCAACCAGTTCCAGACATATTCATTCCTCCACATTACTGATAAGCTAAACTGAGAAATTTTGATGACAAGGTTACATGCTAGCAGTTACCAAATGATAAGAGGTTATTTTAATAGCCTGTGAACAAGATCCACGAATGAAACTGAACTGAAAAAAACGAATTTCACTTACCACTCTTCTTTCAGGAGAAATAGATATTTTCAGATAAAAGGAAGAGAAACTAAAAATCAGACGATGCAAACTAATTTTTGAAACAATCAGTTACTAAATGTTTTTCTTAGCCCTCTAATGTATTATGCTTATATTTCTTTTGCTAATCATTATGTTTAATGGTTGTATATTTTAATTATTTACTGGATTATAATAAATAATCAAGTGCCATGAAATATTTTTAGTCCAACATGAGCCACTGATAATGAAGGCCGCTAAATTTATATATTAAGAGCCCCTTACACAATCAATATAATTGAATGTAATATATTGAAGAGGTACCTCACATGGTTCAATTTTTTTTTTTTTTGTTCCTCCCTTTCCTCCTCAATATTACAATATTATATCAGTTAAGATCTTGCTTAGTGGTTAGGGAGTGGTGGTTAAATAATCCCCTCCTCCCACAAAAAAAAGTAAAACAAAGTATCACCCACCTAACCAAACATATTGCCATTTAATCATTTTGAAAAAAAAAAAATTCTGTGGAGGGGAGTGTGAGTTTACCTTAAAGTACCACTCCCCTACTCAAACATATTACCAATTTGTTTTCCTCCAGTGCTTTTCAAGATCCATATATATATTTCAAATTTAATTTTACCATCCCTCATAACTCGTATATATATATATATATATGGAAAACAAGTTAAGAGGGATGGTAAAATTAAATTCCGAATAACCCAAAAAGTATACACTTTTTTGTCGATATTATGATAAGATGTTTCAACGGTATTTAAATTTCCTAAAAAATGAAAGAAATTTCATTGAAATCGAAGCACTATTAGTAGAGATATCGCGATTTAAAATATTTTTTATTTTCACTTACCTATATATATAATATATAGTAAGGGTAAGTATTGCGATCGAGAAAATTTTTGAATCTGAGTTTTCAACGGAAATACACGTTTTGAGGTACCCTGAGCCAAAATGATGGAGTCCCGAAAAATGGTCTGTATGTCTGTGTGTTTATATTTATTTATATATATACATATATATATATATATATATATATATATATATATAATATATATATATATATATATATATATATATATATATATATATAATTATAAACACACAAATTATCATATATATATATATATCCCACCTTACACAGTCAATATTATTGAATGTTGTATACATAGTACAAATTAGACCTGGGCACTCTTGAAATAAATCATATGATTATTCCAGGAATGAATTGTTTCCGGAATAAGGGTTATTTCTGAAATAATATTTCAAATTGCCAATGAAATAACTTCTAAATTTATTTCTGAAATAATTATTTCAATATTTCACATTCTTTGGAATAATGTTTATTTATTTAGAAATGAGTTATTTCATAAATAAATGATTGTAAAAATCAAGAAATAAATATTTCTCAAATAACATTAAAATAAAATTAACCAATATGCTCCATTTCGTTTCCTGGGGTTAGACAGCCTTAAGACTTCTTATTTTCTGCATATTAATTTTTGTCAAGGATGAGTGTGCCCGAGAGCAATTTCGTTTTTTCAAATGGACTTTTTCCGTTTCCTGCGCTTAGGTGGACTATAGAATTCATATTTATTACTGATTGAGACGTATTAATCTTTATAGAGGCTGAGTTTGTCCGACAACCATTTCGTTTTTTCAAATGCCACTTTTCGTTTCCTGCGATTAGGCGGACTTAAGACTCCTTAATGCTGTTTGAGACATATTAATCTTAATAGAGCCTGAGTACTTTTTACCTTGATGAGTACTTTTCGGATTTAATCGATATCAAGTTTTTATAAAAATATTGTTGAATTTGCGATTGCACCAGTATTCGACAATATTTTTATAATAAGCTATCCCGTAGACAGAATTGTCGATCCTGATATGGATTAAGTACGAAAAGTTAAAAAAAGGTGATGCGGGGAAGGAGAGACGCAATAGCAAATTCTACAGTATTTTCATAAAAAGCTCTCTTGAAAACATAATAGTCGACTCTGATATCGATTAAATCCGAAAAGTTACAAAATGTCGATGTGGGGAGGGGAAATGTGCAATCCCAAATCCGATAATGTTTTCATCAAAAGCGCACCACGAAATATAATAGTGGACCCTGATATCGATTTAATCCGGAAAATTACTAAAAGTCAATGGGAAGGGCGCAATCGCAAATTTGACGGTATTTTCATAAAAAACGCCCCCTTCCCAAAACATAATAATAGACCCTAATATCGATTACTGGGTGGTTAGGTGTGATCCGGTCCAATATAGACTTTTTCCTAATAAAAGTAATCCAGTACTGCCCATCTCTAGTATGGGGAATAAAATGGAAGCATTATTCCTTTTATAACGTTATTCCTGAAATAATTTATTTCAGAAATAATGTTCATGTAATTTCATGAAATTAATTATTTCCGAAATAACTACTATTGAAGTTTTATTTAACGATTTATTCCGGGAATATTATTTAAAATCAATTCTGCCCATGTCTAGTACAAATGTCAATATAATTGTAACAATATATTCCTCAGACAGTCCATATATTCGATATTGTATTGTATAGTCAATATTGACAGTGTAAGATGGGCTTATGGTTTAATGTTTCTCAGTATAGCCCTTACATGTGCTCTTATATTGACAGTTTCGATAAGATTGAAGGAGCTTTAGTCACGGGCGGATCTACGAGGGGGGCTTTCGGGCTGAAGCCCCCCCCCCCAAAATGGTAATATATAACCATGTTTTATCGAGAAAAATATAAAAAAAGCATCTCTTAAAGTATTATTGTTCGTGTAATTACATTTAAAAGGGCTTTAGGAATCATTTAAACACCATTTTATACAGGTAGTTAGTTTCTTTCTTTTTTCCAAAATAATTATCGTTATTTTCATGAAAAAAATACTTTCGGGCTGAAGCCCCCCAAAATTAAATCCTGGATCCGCTAGTGGCTTTAGTAGTTGATAGTTGCAAATAATTAAATTAAAATTCTTGTTATAACTTTTGGTGAAATGGCCAGCCAAATACTAGAGGAGCTACATGGCAGCATTGCATGCTTTCTGAGTTTCACAAGAGTAGTAACGCTGGTACTGAAAATATTTGCGATGTTTATCCAAATGGTATTAGATGTTTTTAAATTCCAAAGGTAGATGGATTTTCAAGTTAAAATCCGTTAATCTTGATCTTTCTTATCTACTAATATCGTCAAGAAAACCAACAACGTTAGACAATGACGTATTAAAGAGCGAAAATGGAAGTAAATCCATGTCAGGCAATCAAGGAATTGTAAAATATCCTTAACCAACCTTGGTCGACCATCCACGATCCACCAAATGCTTCAATGGAACAACACAGAAGCGTTTTTCGATCGCTTGATCACAGGAAATGGACAATGGGTCCTGTATTATAATCCAAAATGCAAAAGGCAGCGGCTCTCTCCAAAAGAATCGCCAGGAAGTACTGCTAAGCCAGGTTTATACACCAAAAAGACCCTTTGATGTGTTTGGTGGAGTATTCCGGGCATTGCTCGATTTGAAGTGGTAAAACCTGGATAAACTGTGAATGCAGACCTTCATTATGAACAATTGTATTTTTATTATTCAATCTTCGATTGAAAAATGGCCAGCAATTTCCAACAAAAAAGGAGTTATTCTTAAACACGAAAATGCAAGATCCCACTGCACAAGAGGAACTCTGCAACAAATTAATGAATTGGGGTGGGAGAAACTTCCCCACCCATCATACTTGCCTGATGTTACACCATCTGTTCAGATAGTTTCAACACCTAAGTGGTAAAAGATCTGCAAATTTGAATGACTCCAAAACGTCATCTCTATCTAACTTGCCATTTTTATTGATCCTGCATTGATAATTTTCACACTATATGGTTGAAAATTGTTATAAAAAATTGTTGATTCAATCAATGACTAAAAATAAAAACTTTGAAATTTATGTTTGAATTTAATGTAAGAAACTGGCATTACTTTCCTGTCCTCCTAATATTTTTCATGGCAGGTATTTTTGTTTAAGCATTGGTAAATAAATATAATTTTAATTTTTAA